GCCCGGGGAGCTGAGCCTCAGTTGGCAGGTGCCGCCGCTGCAGAGCTGCGGCTTTCAGGCGCCGCGGCTTTGTCTTTCGCTTTTCGCTTTTCGCCTTCGGGGCGTGAAAATCGGAGCACCACCCTCCCCAAGAAACAAAGAAAGAAGGGGGGGTGGGTGGGTGGGGGGGTGGGTGGCTTGATTCTGCTGTCAGCTTTCGGGTTGCCGCGGGGTGGAGGTTTTTTTTGTTTGGTTTTTGTCTGTCAGGGTGTATTTAGCGGATGTCATTCACAACAGCTATGAGGTGCAGAAAAAAAGATTCGAAACGCAGCCTGTGGAGGGCCACCAGTGCAGAGGCAGTTTCACAAGGTGGTTGCTTTTTGCACAAGTGCTTTTCGTAGTGGTTTCCCTGTGAACTAAGGTGCAAAACAAAAAGAGTTCCCTAAAGCGCAATAATTGCCCATTCTTTAGGTAAGCTTGGACTGGTTCCAGTTGTCAAAGTCAGAAACTGGCGTCACTTCCCCGAAATCACTGGGGGGAGGACTTTTGGGGGATTGGCGGCGGGTCCGCTCGTTTGAAAGCAGTCGTGGCTCACTGGAAAATAGGCTCAAGACCCATCAAACATGGCTTGGAAGCCTGGGAAGGGAGGCCTTCTCAAGCGCACTGATGTGGTTTTCTGCCTCGTGAGCCATGCCAGGGCTACCAAGTGCAGTGGCGCGAGCAGCAAGGCGCAACGGCGATGCTTGTTCGGGTTCTGCAGAATGCCATGGAACCCAGAAGAGGGATTTCTTAGAAAGAGTTGTTTACGCATGTGTATTTGAGTTCCACACTAAAGATGAAAAGACCGGTTGCAAGGCAGGGAGCTGCCGGCCGTGGCATTCCAAACGCTCACTCTCTGCGCTCCGATCATCTGTGTAACGGATTGCTTTTTTGTTTCGCAGGGGTGCCATTTTTGGCTTCCTTGGCTGGGGTGTTTGGTCGTGGCATGGTCAGCGTGGGGAAGAGAGTACCGCCTGCATAGAATGGTTTTGTCAAGTTTAAAGCAAGGTGAGCAGAGCGCGGTCTTGTTCAGAGCAGGGACCATGCGAATGTCAGCAGTACAGGGCTTCTCGTATAGTAATGTCAATGAAAGAGGGCAAACCCATGACAATCGTTCAACCCAACTTCGAACTTCCAACTTCCACGCCCCTCAGGGCCATCGGGAACCCACAAACAGCACGACATCAGCGCGCACATGCCGGTGTGAATCGTTTGCCATCCCTCAATGGGATGGAGGAATCTTCCATTCACGGGGTGCGGTAGCCCATTGCATCAAAGTCCTCTTCAGGCCACTTTTGACACGCCCTTGGTGTCTTAGGGGGTTGCAACAAATGGCCATGGGTCAAAACCCAAATCGCACCCCAGTGAACATCCCAATCTTTACAAAATAAATAGGTTCTAACATGGGTGGTGAATTCACCTAAAACCCCAAAATGGGTGTTGACCACCAGGGCCAAATCACGCCGGCCTTCACGGCACTCAGCCAGGCGCCTGGTCCTCCGCCTCCTGCGGGGCCACTCTCTGCCAGTCCTCCTGCCGGCTGTCTGTGCCCTCCAACCGCCTGGTGGAGGTGCAGGCAGGGGGAAACCACCCGCCCCTTGTCTTTTGCTGGAGGGAAACGACCTTCGGCACAGCTGCGCATTTGAAAACTGGGCGATGTTTTGTTGGTTGAAATTGTCATCTCTCCCGCCCGCGAGGTGAAGGTTTCCTGCAGCCCATCGGAAGCAGACAGCGACTGGAGCGGCCTGCTGGTCGAGACCCTGCCTGCAGCGCGGATGCAAGTCTAGAGGTCCCATTTTGGGGGGGACAGATCCAGTCCCAGTTTCGGGCTAATCCCTTCCCCCTATTAATAAATACGGCCCCCCCCCCCCCCTATTATAAATAAATCCTCCCAAAAATAGATTTTTTTTTAATTGGGGTTTTCGGGGTTGGGTTTTTTTGCTTTTCCAACAATGTGAGGGTTCGCATAGGATTTGGAGGAAATGGATTGAATTGTAAGGTCCGCGAGTAAGCGGTTTAATAAGGAAATTTCATGTATCATTCTGTTTGTTTTTCAGTTTACTGGTTGTTTGTTGGCAGCCAGGCAGGTTAGCCAGCATGTATGGGGGAGAGACAGTCGCAGCTTAAAAGTGGGGCTGGAAGCTTATTAAAAGTGCCCCCTAATAAGGATTCCAAGACTTTAGTATTGGTTTAGTATTGGCGCAATTAAAAATCAATTGTGCGGAGTGGAAATCTGGTCTCGGGCCCCGGATTTGCATTTATTATTAATGGGGGTCATTCATTAATTGGGGGAGGAGATTATGTGGTTTCTTGGTGGATGAAAGGATCCTCGTTTTCTTTCAAGTCTTCGAGTGCAGGGGTTCAAGTCTCCTGAAGTAACGAGGCTACGCAGACCTTGGCAGCTACATCACAGAGTTGGTTCCTGAGCCCTTGGAGCATGTCGTGGTTGTTGTGGGTGCGATAATCAAGCAGTTGACCTTACACTGAGCACTAGTCAGGGGGTGTCAAGCAGGCTTGGTCTCGAAATTGAGCACCATTGTTATATTGGCAGTGGTTGATCTGCCTTTGACATTTCTGCTGCAGATCTCATGTTTCGTTGCCTGAGGTACCTGCTGCAGCGGTGCAAAACCTCATAGTGTCCAACATCCACGCAGCAGGTGCCAGTCAGACCGAGCGCAATTTCAGAAGTCAAGCTCAAATCGAGTCAATTGAAGCGCACCTCGTTGAATGAAGGCCTGTGTGCAAGTTGCAACGATTGAGCCAGAGGCACCCACTTTGCCACGTCCAAGTCTCAAGCTGGCAATGGCAAGCCAGCTTGTACCTGGCCCTGGTTCTGACAACATGCAGCTTTCAATGGGATGTGGCATCACTCAACTTAGGGCCAGAGGCAATGATGGTGAAGCGTGGTGGCTTGCGTTTGCTTGTGGAGATCCTTATCACCAGGCTCTTTTTTTTTTCTCCCACACTTTGAAAGTCTCCTGTGGGATGTAGTGGGCAAAAATCGACTTTCAGCAGCTCGGAGGCGGTGATTTGTCCTGGACACCCGGGCCAATGAATGATTGCGCCGCTTGGCATTTGTAGCCTGTAGATTGGCTGTGCGTGATGGTTGAAAACGACATGCCCTTGAGGTTTCTGTGGTGGGGTTTGCCCATGGTTTGTTCCAACGGCTTAAGCTGCAATTACTTCCCTTGTTTCACGACTCGCATGAACGTTTTTTGTCACACGCCCGTGTCTTTTTACGCGTGTTGTTCATTCACTAAGTACGCATATATTTTGTTTGTGGTTTGCAGTCGGGAGTTGACCAGCTGGCACGGGGATGTGAGTGCCGGAGCTGTGAACGGATGCGATGCTTGCCCCGCCACAGAGTGCAAGGCGACGTTGTCAAAGCTGAGAATGATTGTGCCCTTCGTTGCTTGTGTCAGAAAAAGATGGTTTGTCTTTTGCTCCCATTCTTGTGGGAGGCAGGCTTCAGCATGCAGGAGAAGCTAGAAGTGACAGAAGTGACAATGCCACGGCTTCGATATGGCTGTCGGTCAAAAATAGGTACCCAAAATGGAACCCTGGTAAGTGGGAACCTGCACTAAAACCTGCAAGTTCCAAGGTGGTTTGATTTTGACCCATACCCATATGTCGGTTCCATGCTCCGGTTCGCCGAAAGTGCGACGCCGAGGTTTTGTCCTCGTGGCATTTGGGGTACCGTGATTTGTTGGGCAGCTGGACATCGACCTCCTGCGCAGCCGACGTGCCCTGCAGTGCCGCGGCATGAGCCTTTTGCAACCGCCAGTAAGACATGACACCGACCTTTGGTTGTCGCTGAAGGAAGGGTTTGCCGTGGTTTGCCTGATGTCTTTCAGATCCGTTTTTCGTTTTCTTAGATGTCCAGACGTTGGACCTCAGCAACAGGGCTCTAACCAATGGATTCGCTTCAGGGATCATGTGAGCCACAGTCAAAACCCGGGTAGATACAGGTTAGTAAGGGGCAGTCCCAGCCAGAAATAGTTGCGGCCGCCTTCTTAATTCTTTACATGGTTCGGGTCGACCATTTTATTATCATATCAACTACAACATGCCGCCCGAGGCCTGAGTGGCCTCGCCTGCGATACCGCCTACGAGCTGTGGGTGGCTGCCAGCTGTGCAGACTTTCGCGCCGATGGGCCCTTCGTCACGGCCTCTTGGCTGGCGAACGAAGCGAGTCGGGCACCCGGGAGGGACTCTTTCTGTGATGCTGTGGGTGGACGAAGTCCTACACCACTTGGGATAGATGAAATCCAGTAAATAATGGGATAAACCACCTAGGATTTCGCCCGTCCACAGTAAGGGAGTATAGTAAGGGACTCCTCTTTGAAGTGCTAGGCACAAGGATGGTCCACTTGTTTTACAGAAAGGGGCATGTTCGACAACCACAGAGGCATACCGATCTCCGTGAGCTTTGGCATTGGCGCAGCACCTTCGCGCCACGCCATGTCGTTGTGGCATTCTCCGGTTGCCCGTTTTCTTTCAACCAGCTTGAAACATCCAGCGGCTAGCTTCGGGCGACCCGGACTTTGTTTCAAGCCAACTGATTTTCTTGATTATGGCTGCACCACCCAGCAACCCAAGTGGTTGACGGCTTCCCGCCACCCGACTGAAGTGAAACGAGACGAGGCCAGCTTCACCACGGACCCGGGGGATGTGTGCCTCAAGGAGTCCCCCGCGCCGAGGCCCGCCGGAAGTGGCTGGCTGCGTGAGTGGCTGGGGTTTTTGCGCGTCCAGACTCTGTCTATATCTATATGACGGGGGGGGGTTTGGTGTTGGCTTAGGGTTAGTCGGGGTTGGTGCAGGGTCAGTTTAGGGTAAGTTTAGGGTGGGTTTAGGGTTCGCGTAGGATTGTTCAGGGGAGATGTAGGGTGAGGGTTAGGGTCAAGGGTTCGGGTTGGCTTGGGGTTGGCTAGGGTTGGTTCAGGGGTTCAGGGTGTTTAGGATGCATGATGTTTGCTTAGGGTTGGTTCAGGAGGATGTTGGTTTAGGGTTGGCTTCGTGGGTGTGGGGTGTTGGGGTGCAAGGGGGGGGGGTCTGGAGACCGGAGCTGCAGGGCGTGCGCTGCTGAATAGCATCCCCAGCATCTCCAGCATTATCCGATTAGCAGATGATGCGGGGGAGGGATATATATATATATATATATGTATTTATTTATGTTATCATGTATGCATATTTGTGTGTGTGTGTGTCTCCTGCTGTTGGCGAACTACATACATGCATTGCATGTTGCAGGTCCCGGCAGCTTATGTGTTGCGGAAAGCAAATCCATGGTCTCTTGGATCTTGGGCATCGAGCGTGTTCCTCGACCCGTCCCGTTCCCCTTGGGTTGCCCAAGAGACCAACCTTTTTCGAACCAGTTCCATTTTGCGTAACGGGGTACACTTGGGCCAGCCCCCCACTACTCTGCAGCAAATTCATATTGCCTGAACCATGGGTGTCTATTGAAAAACCATTTTTTGTTGGCAGGGGAGTATCTCGGTGTCTCTCAGCCTACGAATTTTGTTGTTTTCCTTCGGCTTCCGCTTACCCAAAACAGCATAACCCCAAAGGTCCGTGGCCACGAGCAGCCTGGGTGTCTCCAGCCTGTCCGTGTCCTGGGAAGATGTGGAGCCGGGGAAGAACTGCAGCTTCCAGCAGTGGCAGGCGGTATGGGGCAAAATTCAACCAGGAATCGGACCGCAGGTGTTGGTCCCCAGGGTTCAATTTGCCATGGCTATCCATTTTGAATACCCATTACCCGTTTTTGATCCACAGCCAAATGGGTACGGGTCAAAATTAAACCACTCGGGGACCGCAGATTTTAGTCTACGTTTCACTTGCCAGGGTTCCATTTTGGGCACCTATTTTTTTACCCACAGCCAAATAGTACCGTGGATGGTTGCGAAATCCGTTCGCACCTAGGAAACCATGGTTGAAGCCACTTTTGCAGGGGAATCATAACAATTCCAGGCAGGATTTTGTCCATCCACAGTGTGTTCCCTAAAATGGCAACGGTTTCTTTCGGACTTCCCGTTAAATACCAAGGGTATCCAGCTTTTTGAGAAACCTCCACAAGTTCGGTCATAACATTGCTGGTCTATAGTTTAGATGACATGGAGACTCATTTTCCCACAGGGGACGTCGTATTTTGTCCATGTTCTCTTGGGGAAACAAGTTGTTTTGACCATGGCTCATATGTCTCTTGTGGGGGGACTTGAACTACACCTTTTGGGCTAATATGGAAGGAGCTTCTTTGATCGCTTTGATGGGCTGATGTTTAAAGGGGACATATCAGGACCACAATCAATTTGGAAAGTCAGCAGGAGATAGTCCCAACAAATGCTGGACCTTGATTATGGCTCGGCATCATGGTTCCATTGAAAATTGTCAGTTGTTTTTTTGAATTGTCAGTTGGGATCATTATTTTTTTGGTTGGAGCCTTCCGTTTGGTCCTTAGTTGGGGCTTGGTTGCACATTGGCTTGGGCGACGGTTTGACAAGTGACGTTGCGATCCCGATTCCGCAGCGCTATCCCGTTCGCGGAGGTTCCGCAAGTGCCACAGATATCGCCCAAAACACGGACCCCGTTTTGGATGGCTAAAGGGAGCCTTTGGGCGAAGCCGGTGAACCTTACCAGGGCCCTTTGAGAAACGCCCAATCGTTTTGTTCTTGAATGTGGGCATGTTTGCCGCATGTTTGCCTACTTTCTAAACGGACCAAAAGCGTGTTTTCCGGCGGCGGATTTCCTTTTCGGGCGTGCCCTTTCAGGGCCGAGTATCATCCGAGGCTTCTTGCAAGACGCATTCCGGCCATGTTCGAGGTCTGTGTAACGAGCTGATCTGAAGCATTTTCCTTTTGACGAGTTGCTGTGATCTGGAATGCGCCTATCCTCACGGCCTCAACCGGCTGGGGCTTCAGCAGGGTTCCGACTACTTACATGATGAAAACCACATTTGCAGAAGAGCAACCTCCTGGCAGTTCATGTTTACACCGCATCGGTTCAATTTTTAAGCAACCTCCCTGACTTGCCAGTCAGGGAATGAGGGAATGAACACAGGCTTCCCCTGAAAGGAAACCACCTGGATGTTTTTGTTTGGTGTCATTCGGTCATTCCATTTCTCATTCCGTACCGATTTGGCACCAGCAAGAGGACCAGATTCTCAAAGTCCCAAATTGCCAGGTGGAGGTGCGACCCTCCAACAGCGACACCTGGCGCCTTGCCGCCGGGTGCGCGGGTCTGGCGCGCACGGCCCGGGCTCCCGGGCTCCCGCTGGGCTCCGAAAACCGAGGAATCGCTTGGGGTGGTTTTGCATTTGTTTGGTTGTAGTTTTGGGCACTCGGCTGTTCAGCCGCCCCCAGCAGGCGCGTCACTTTTGATGTCGCACTCTTAGCATCTCTTCGCAATCTCCCACGCCTTCCGCATTTGGTCGACGAAGGCGTTCCTTTCGCACGTTCCGCGTCACTTTTGATGTCACATTCTTAGATATCCGCCACGCCTGCCACGCGCACGTGGCTCAGATGCACCCATCCCTGTCACATGGTAAGCACACCCGCCCACGTGCATGTCGCTCAAATGCGCCCATGCCTGGCGCATGGCAATCGCACCCACCCACGCGCATGTCGCTCAAACGCACCCATGCCTGGCACATGGTAAGCGCACCCACCCACGCGCATGTCGCTCAAACGCACCCATGCCTGGCACACGGTAAGCACACCCGCCAGGCACATGGTAAGCAAACCTGTCCACGCGCGTGTCGCTCAAATGCACCCATGCCTGAAACATGGTAAGGACACCCGCCCACGCGCATGTCGCTCAAATGCACGTTGCCTGGCACATGCTAAACACACCCGCCCACGCGCGTGTCACTCAGATGCACTCATGCCTGGCACATGGGAAGCACACCCGCCGACGCACGTGTTGCTCAAATGCACGCATGCCTGGCACATGGTAAGCACACCCGCCCACGCGCATGTCGCTCAAACGCACGCATGCCTGGCACATGGTCAGCACACCCGCCCACGCGCATGTTGCTCAAATGACTCGTGCCCAGAGACTGCCTGTCACAAACAATCGATCGATCAATGATGCACACCGAGCTATCGCGGCTGCAGGACGTGGATGCATCGCTTCCCCCTCGTATCTCAACGTTAAAGTCTTGCATGTGTTTGTTGTTGGTCCTTAATTTGTTTCTTGTTTGTTGTTGGTTGTGGTCGTGGTTGGTGAGATATCTGTGAACTACCGTTGAAAACTGCGTTGCTGCCCTTTACTGGTGTTGAAGCCGACTTTTTGCTTGGGACCCTTGAAAAACCAAGCATCTCGCTGAGGCAAAAACGCGATGGAGGAATATTCTGTGAGCCCGGCCATCATTTTCACACACTTGAAAACAAAGATTTAGATATCGAAATCGCAAAAAAACACTGGGTTTTTGCATGATTGGACTTAAATGACCAATTTTCAGCGGACAACCCTTGTGGGGCCGGCTGGACAGCCGACGGCCTAGTTTTGGGAGCACCTAGTTTTTTTGGGTTTTCTTTGGTTTTAGTTTTGGGTGTTCCGAGGGTGGACAATTGGTGAAGTTACTGGTTGTTTCTTGCGGGTGTTCCTTCAAACACGGCGGGGTCAACCAACAGGGGGACCCGAGTGTTTGGTTTGCACTCGACTTTTTGAACCGCAAAGAGCCTCAGTTTCAGAAGTATTTGCAGTTGTTGCATTGCTAAGGTTGCGGCCTCCTCATGTTCGCTTTCAAGTGAAAGGATGATTGCTCTCTGCGGTAGATGGCATAAATTGGTAGTGTCCCACTGCCCCTTTCCTGAAGACAGGGATGCGCGATTGAGCGGGTGTTGAGGCGACATCCTGCGTCGCCACGGGACTTCAGTCGATGATGGAGCCTTTGATGCAAAGGGGGGAAGGCTGGACTGAGGAGCCGTGCGCCAGCTTTGGGCAGCGCCAAAAACCCTTATGAAAGGAGTTATTTGAGGCCCTGACGAGGCCGCGAAAGGTTCCGCGAAAGCGGTTTGTTAGCAGAGGGTTTTATGTACCCTATTTTCTGCACCGCTCATTTGGAGACTGATGACTTGCAGATAGTGATGCAACCTTGACACATCTTGCAGCTTTGCGCTTGGTTGTGTGTGTGTGTGTGTCCCTGCCATGATTTGTGAAGCGTGCCAATCCACGGGCGGCTTGTTCCACCAAGCTGCAAAAGACAGTGGCGCCAATATATGCTGACACATTCCTGCAAATATGTGTTTTGGATGTGATGAAAGCTGTCACTGGCCGCTGACTGCTGCTGTTGCACCATCTTCCAAGAATCGTGACATTGGACATAGCTACCATTCCGAAGACTGAGTCTAGCGGCGTGCAATGGGGTTGCGGCAACTCCTTGACTTAAACCAAGTGTTCTTGCTCATGGGAATAGACATTGTGCATGGGATTGAAGATGAATTGGAGTACAGTATCTACGAATGAAAGAGGCAATGCAAAGTTCGGCCCGTGTTTGTTGGATACATACATTGTTGACTGCGTGTTCACTGCGTGGTGACATTGCATTGCATGGCGACGGGCCGGGAGCATTGTCCATCTTGTCAAGTGTTAGCACAGTCACATGAGTGAACGGTCACTGAACTTTATGCTGTGGCCACGGAAGGATAGGGTGTGGAATGTTTATATTAAATGTAATGACTGCAAGTCCGAGTTGTTGAGTGCTTTGTGTGACTTCCTTGTTCAGGTGTTTTGAACATTTCCGAAACACGCATTTGTGCTTTGTGGGCTACCATGACTTCTGAAACGCAGCAATATGTATTTTTGGGTAAAGCAGGTGTTGTGCGCAAACGAGCGGAATTCTGCCAGGCTTGCTTGCAGTGGCTTCAATGAATCCCTGCACATTTGCCGGCGCTATTCTGGGCTTTGTTTGTGGCTCACGCTCAAAAGGGAGCAAGCCATCAAGAACAATCCATCTGCACAAAACCAAGAAGCGCGGGTGAGCTTATATGGGTCCTCTCAGCCTGGTGATGTCCAAATGACTGGTTGACCCTTCCGAATGTACAAGAAGCTTGGGTATACTGGTGGTCCTTCACTGGATTGGCCGAACCCGGGGGGAGTTTTGTTGGAACGGCCCTAGGCGCACAGCTTCCGGGTCCGCGAGGATTGCGGGCTTCCAGCCGACTGGGGCTACTCCAGCCCGGCCAGCCCGGCGCTTCCTTACGGGGACTGTGGGGCTAGGCATCTTGTGGTGTTTATACTTGGCAGCTTGGGATCCTCCCAGGGACTTGTTCCTCCATTTCCCGGTTTTGGAGCTTCCGGAAGTGGCAGTTTTTCACCAGAAAATTGGCAACCTTTGGTCGCTGGAAATCCAGCGACCCCCGGGTTTTGTTGTTTGGCCATGTTTGGTTTCTGTTCTGCCAGCAGGTTTGGCTCTCGGAGCCGAGGCCCCGAAGCATCAGAGCCTTCCGTCCCGCAGCTCAGCAACCTGAGCAGAGTTCAGTCTGTCAGGGCTTGTTCTTTTGGTTTGTGTCCTACTCTCAACCGCGTCTATTGTTGATTAGCACCCCTTTCAGATCTCAGAAAGGGCTGCGACTGAGTCATCCCATTCCAGGCCTGCCAGCGTCCGTGTCTTGTGGCGTGGTACGTGTCAGTGGTTTGGCAGGAGCTTGGGGTTCGCTTCCCCTTTCGGTTTCAAAAGGAAGCAGCCCATGGGTGTCCTTTTCAGGTTAGTTTGGATAAAAAATAGATGCACTGGTTTAGGTGGGTTTTTTCTTCCATGTACCAGGGTCATCCATTTTTCGTAAGGGCACCTACTGTGGATGGACGAAATCCTGCACCACTTGGAAACCATGGGAAACAATTGTTTGTTGGTATTAACAAGGGAATCATCAGAAACCAGGGCTTCTTAGGTGGTGCGAAATGGATTTGGTCCACCCACAGCATGAACGGCTTCTCATGGTTCACCTACTCAGTTGTTCAGTGGCACCCTTTTTCCCTTTTTTTGTGGCTGCCCCACTAAAAATGGTCTTCCCCAAAAAAGGGTTCCCTTTTTCCAGGGTCACTCACCACCTGAGCCTATGAACGGTTTCTGCATCGGTTCCAAGGGCCCCTGTCTCAAACATCTCGAGGGCAGCTGCAGCCCCGCCAGGCCAGCACAGAGGCACGGCCTGCGATGGCCCCGTTCGACATGGTGGCGCCCAGGCGGCATTGGCTCCCTCGGCAAAGGTTGGGCTTTGAGGTTAAGTTGGACCAAGTTGCGTCTGGGTATGTGGCCAAATCGTAGGTGTCCTTTTTGGTTGTTTTGGTTGAAAAATAGAGGGCCCTGGTTGACCCGGTGGTTTAATCATCTACCAGGCCCATTTGTTTCCCCTAAAACGACACCTATGGGCCGAAACGTTGGAAAGAATATGGCGAACATTTTTGCTTGGCCCGCCGGAAAACACGCCACCATTCATGAGAGCCTTCCCCCAAGCAGCGTTGCTCTGCTCCGCTTGAGTTGCCACATGGCACACCTTCTCTGCCTGAAGTGTTACACGCGCAGGCAGATGCCTCATTCCACGTTTTTTTGTGTTTTTTTTTTAACCTATACAGCAGCAGAGTTACAGCAATGCGTTCTCAGCAGAAGCAGCAATTGCTTTTGCTGCTTTGGATGGCATTATATGAACAGAGCTTAGAAGGGCAAGCAAGATTGCTTTCTGAAGAGTCAGCATTTTTTTTTCTCGAGCGCGACCCGGGCCTACCACATCTCCAGCAGTCTGGCAGTCTGGCACGGCCTCGGTTTCACCTTTGGCTTTGCTCTCCTGGCTGCCACAACAGTAGTGTGTGCCCAAGAGGGCAAGGCTGTCATATGATATCACTTGAAGGGCCTACATTTAGGTAGGCACTGGAAGAATAGCATTTTTTCAGCGCAAAACCGTGCAAAACGAGCTATTAGTCGAGTGCCTACATTTACGTAGGCACTAGACTAATAGCATTTGTAGCGCAAAAACCTGCAAAAAACGTGCAAAAAACTCTCCTCCCAAGTCATGTAAGTGGGCTGTCTAAATAAATGATGTGACCTCCTCCTTATTCCTGAGGAATAGCCTTGCGAGAGTGAAACGCACAGCGTAAGGAGCGAGTCTTCAGCTCCAAGGGGAGACTTGCCTGAGGCGACCCCTGCCTCGGATTCAGCGATGACCGTGCAGTGGAGCACGCCTGAGCTCAATGTCGCTCAGCCGCATGGACATCATGCCTGTCGGAATCGGAGGATTTGCCAGGGTTTGTGAAAGCGGTCGGACGGTGACAGAGATACTGCAAATACTATGACTACGTGTGTATATATATATATATGTATACATATATTATATGTTTGCTGCGATTCCCGTGTCGAGTTCTGACAGAAGTTCGCTTTGTGAAGTGTTTGGAATTCCCAGAGACAGGAACCATGTGCTTGCTTTTTCAGCTTCATTCTGGGCTTTTAGACTCTCTGATGGAGGGACATTATCTCCATTGGAAGGGTTTGGCCCTCAGAAAGGGCCTGTTAGAGGTCCCAATAGCACGCACTTTATGTATGAGCGTGTGTGGCCCCGCTGGGCAACTGCTTGGTGCTTCAATCAGACTTATTGCAATTGTCACACCCTTGGAGCTTGGATAAGAGCAAGCATTGAGTTTGCAGCTGCCGCATGAGCATTGAATGCTCGCCTTCTTTTGCGTTCGCAAGTTATCGTGTCTCATGTTTGCCAGCGTCAGTTGGAATCGGAGCTGATGTTTGTGGACACTCGAAATGACTGTGTGCTCAATGGTTAGTGACAACAGTATCTTTTTGGCAGTGCCTTTTGCAAAAGCCTCTGAGTACCTCAAACCACATACAAACCGCTCTTGGCAACTTTCTTGGAGGCTTTGCTGGCTTTGGGATGTCATCAAGCGTTGTGACGAGTTGCCCGAAATCAACGGTGCTGGGATTTGAGTGTTTTTACATGAGCCTTGCAAGTGTTTAGCTTTTTGCGGGGGCGCTTCAGGGCCTGGAGCTTATTAACTATTCCGGATGCCGCTATGGGTCAAGACTTCAGGCCTGTGGCTAAATGGCGTAGTCATACGATGGTCAGTCAGCACACATCCTCTAACTGCCAGTATCGATCACGTGGCATTCACGCACCTCTTATCTAAAGCATGTTGCTACAACAGCACATCCGCAGCTGTTGCTTTAGTCCCAAAGGAAAGCTTTTAGCGCAACACTTTTTCGAGCCATGACATACACAAAAGGTATACGTATCTAATAATATGTATCCCTAGGTCTTCCCTGGGCACTTATTGTGTTATTTTTTCCGTTTCGAACAACCAAATCGTTGCATTTCACGCGAAAACACTCAATTAAGAAAAACACGCTCAACTGGAAAATTGTTCTAGAGTGTGTTTGCCCATGTCCACTCATTTCCGGCTGGTTTCCGCTCATTTCCCGCCAATTTTCCGGGGGAGAATTGCTGAATCAAGGTTTCCGCTCCTTGCATTTGTTTTCCCGCTCAAAATGTGAAACGAGCAAACCAAACGCCCAGAGCCCCAAAAAGTGACCACATTGAAGACTTTACTTAGTTGTTCAGTGGCACCCTTTTTCCCTTTTTTTTGGTGGCTGCCCCACTAAAAATTGGCTTCCCCAAAAAGGGTTCCCATTTTTTCCAGGGTCACTCAACACCTGAGTTTATATATAGTATATGTTCAAACATACATGTTTCTTAGACCCCGAGGACTGTGTCTTCCGCAGCTTCGAGCTGCAGTGGGCGGACGTTGGCGGCAGCTGGGTCTCCTCCGCGTGCGACGGGACCTTCTGCCGGGCGGCCCAGAGGTGTTTGGGCATAGCAACCGAAGGCGTAGCTCGACCTCATTCGCTACGTGAAAAACCCGGGTTGGGGGAGGGGGGTTGGGGCGGTGGAGCTCCCAACATCATGTTTTAAATGCGCGACTTTGCTTTTAGGTTTAGACCAAGCTGAAACGGGTACGTACCCTGCGAAAACAAAGAAACAAAGAAACACACAAACGAACGAACAAACGAAAAACGTAAGAAAGAAAGAAAGAAAGAAAGAAAGACAGAAAGAAAGAAAGAAAGAAAGAAAGAAAGAAAGACAAAAAATATATAAATCAAATATATAAATAAATGAAGAAAGAAAGAAAGAAAAAAAGAACGGCATAAAAGAACAACAGAAATAAAGAAGTAAAGAAGGAAAGAAAGAAAGAAAGAAAGAAAGACAGAAAGAAAGAAAGAAAGACAGAAAGAAAGAAAGACAAAGAAAGAAAGAAAGACAGAAAGACAGAAAGACAAGAAATAAATAAATAAAATAAATAAATAAATGAAGAAATAAAGAACGAAATAAAGAACGAAATAAAGAAAAAACGACATAAAAGAACAACAGACAGAAAGAAGTAAAGAAAGAAAGAAAGAAACAAAGTAATAACAGAATAAAGGAAAAAGGAAAGAAAGAAATAAATAAATAAAGAAATACAGAAAGACATAAATAAAGAAATAATTCAATAAAGAGACAAAGAAAGAAAGAAATAAAGACAGAACGAAGTAAATAAACAAATAAGTAATGAATGAATGAAATTCATGAATGAATGAATGAAGGAAGGAATGAATGAATGAATGAATGAATGAATGAATTAATGAATGAATGAATGAATTAAATGAGTGAATGAATGAATGAAATGAATGAATGAATGAATGAATGAATGAATGAATGAATGAATGAATGAATGAATGAATGGATGAATGAATGAATGAATGAATGAATGAATGAATGAATGAATGAATGAATGAATGAAGCATGAATGAATGGATGGATGGAAGGAAGGAAAAAAGAAAGAAAGAACGAACAGAAAGAAAAGCAAGAAAGGGCAAAGAAAGAAGGAAGCCAGCCAAGCCAAGTCAAGTGAAGCCAAGCCAAGCCGAGCCAAGCAAGCAAGCAACCAACCAACCAGCCAACAAACAAACAAGCAGTCAAACAATCAAACAAACAAACAAACAACCAAAGAAGAAACACATACAAACAAGCCAACAAATAGTACAAGAAACTAAGAAACAAAGAAACAAAGAAGCAAACCTTCAAACAAACACAAAGCAACATACAAGCAAGCACGGCACGGCACGGCACCAATGCCCCAGCTGAGGCTGTTGCACAAGTATTGGTTTTGGGTCAGAAAGCATAGCTTGGGCAACAATCAAGGACATTGTTGGTTTGAGGATGCCATTCTGAGTGGCCCCAGGAATCCCTGTCTTAGGAATGGGACTTCCACTTTGGTATCACAGAAAGGACTATTTCATGCTCAGGGTACCGTGGAACCGCCAGGAAGTCTGTTTGAACTCATATTTGCCTGAGAGTCGAACCGTGACTTGAATGTTAGAGCTCGACTGGATGGACCTTTCTGGACTGGGCTATGCGCTGGGTCCCCCACTCACATTCCAGTCTAAAAGCCCGGCTTCTCCTGCTTGACGGCAAATCCTCGAATGCATTGGGCCTTAGGCTCAGTGATCCTTGGTTGGGCCTTTGGGCCACTGTCGCAGAGCCTGGAGCTGTCCTTTAATTCCAGGTCACTTCGATTGACAATAGTTGAAAACTGGTTTTAGTTTGGTTCTTATCACCCAACTAAATCCAATTTTCTCGCACCTATGGCAGAGATGGAATGGAATGGTTGCCCGTTGACCAATGGATTCATTTGGCCATGGGTCAAAATCCCGTACCCCCAGTCAACATCCCAATCCCCATTAAAATAGACTAAAATGGGTGTTGCACCTACCCCAAAATGGGATCCCTTTCGTTTTGACCCACAGCCATTTATCAATTTGTGCCGAAGGCAGTGCCAAAATCTCTTAGGTCAGAGCAGCTGCTTGGCACAGCCCTTGCCATCCAACACTCTGCTCAGCTTTCGCGTGCGGACGCTCTGCGACGTTGAGGCGGGAGTGACGGATTTGGAATTGTTTCCTCTGGGACGTGCCTAATATCTTTACTATGTATTTTTTCCAGACTACCTATCCAGCGAGTGGCTGATGCTTCGCTACCGACAGGGCTTGCCCTGTCAAAGAATGCGCAGAAGGCACTGGGCATCCTAGGCATCCCTTGCCGACTTTAGTGTACTGCGCTTGCAAACCTAGGCGACCGCAAAATCTGTGGCTTCTTTGCAACGTACTCACTACTTTGTTTGTTCCAGGCCTCGCCCAGTCCAGCTTTCTTGACGCACCTCTGAGTTACTGCTCAAGTTTCATGCGACTGTTAGTGTCCTGGGACACTGTGAGCTACTCCTGAAGCAACAATGCATCAAGAGGGCGAAGCAAGTCCAGACGGGGTGAATCAAGCGCGGGGGAGGGGCGGTTTCGGGAATGTGACACTGATGGACGGGGAGCTCCAAGGTAGAGGCTTTGGTCAATGCGGTTTAGATAAGCCCAGCAGCATGTTGCTTCACCCAGGAAGGATAGAAGGAAACCCAAAGATCGTCTCCCGTGGCGGTTCAACGCTTTCAGAATCTCAGTGTGTGTCCAAGTGATTGTGTCGTGGAATGGGCAAATACAACCTGTTGCCATGGGGTTGCGCAGGGAGATGGGAAGCTACACACACACACCCACACACCCACACACCCACACACACCCACACACCCACACACCCACACACCCACACACCCACACACCCACACACACCCACACACCCACACACGCAGAGACGCACAGACGCACACAGGCACACACGCACACACGCACACACTCACACACTCACACACACGCACACACGCACACACGCACACACACACACGCACACACACACACACACACACACACACACACACACACACACACACACACACACACACACACACACACACACACACACACACACACACACACACACACACACACACACACACACACACACACACACACACACACACACACACACACACACACACACACACACACACACACACACACACACACACACACACACACACACACACACACACACACACACACACACACACACACACACACACACACACACACACACACACACACACACACACACACACACACACACACACACACACACACACACACACACACACACACACACACACACACACACACACACACACACACACACACACACACACACACACACACACACACACACACACACACACACACACACACACACACACACACACACACACACACACACACACACACACACACACACACACACACACACACACACACACACACACACACACACACACACACACACACACACACACACACACACACACACACACACACACACACACACACACACACACTACTACAGGTGGTACGTGTTTGCTCTCAATGAACAGATTGTGTCATAGGCCGCAAAGCAAGTTTCATCACTGTCTTCGAAGGAGACAGATAATTCTGCCATTTGAAAGCAGATCCGATTTCATCACTGGCTAGCGGCAGGAGAATGCAGGATTCATTGCCGAAGTCCATGAGTTACCAGAAGATCATTGAGTGTGTTTCTGAAAAAAATATGGGCTGGCATCGAACGATTTGGGTGTGTCTTTTGCTGATATGAGTTTGAGGTTGCTCAACCAGTTTTGAGCGCACCCCAGGAGGCAGCCGTGGATCGACCATATAGCCATGACATACCCATCTTGTACCCACCCATGTATTTATCTATGCATAATTGTATTGGGCCCACGGGTTTTTGCGTTCAACATGTTTAGGGTCTCCAGGAGTCCATTGCTTGCCGCGGGCCGCTTGGGAGCGGGCTTGGGGCTGTCCACTTGACTTTCTCTGAATTTAAGGGGCATAAAACCACAGCAGTTAGCATTGATAACAGGTGACAGCGTGGGACACCAGGGCCTCCCCATAGGTGTCCTTTTTGGTTGTGGTAGAAAACAATGTCCTGGCGATTCCTGGGAAAAACCTGGTGGTTTTTGCTCATCCACCAGAAAAATCCATCCATTTCCCCCAAAAGCACCTATGGGCCTCCCTTTTTTCCGTCAGACCAAGCGCACGCCCCTGGGGGCCCATCCATCAACTTCCGAGAGGCCCTGAGCAGCTCCTGGAGCAACGCCTCCGACTCGGTGGCTACGCTGCCGAGGCGGAGATCCGAAAGCTTCGGAGCGAAGGTTGCCCTTCCACTGGCGCCTGCACTGAGTTTGGCACGCGAGGCAGACATGCGATAGCTTCCTTTCTGATCCGTTGGCAAAAACTTGGTACATGAAGAGAAGGAGCTGCCCATAGGTGTCCTTCTTGGTTGATTTGGTTGAAAAATGGGTTGGGCGATTCCTGGTTTACCTGGTTCAAGCAACCAGGGCCATCTATTTTCCAGAAGGGGACACCTATGCTCGCGCCTGCACTGAGTTGGACACGCGTCAAGGCAGACTAGATGCCACCAGGCACTGAGCCGTTCAAGATTGCTGCAGCGGATCCCAGTACTTTTCGTCTCTTCGCTGATGTTGTTCCCCTGTTGTTGATCTTGGCGTGCGATTCCAAAGCAATAAACAACGCATCAAAAGGTTGGTGAGAATATGGGTTTGTCTCAATATGCAAGAACGCAACAAGTGGTTTGTGTTTGGTTCCTTTTGGTGTCCCTTTGGTTTCCTCCAAAACATCCCAAAACGGCTCCCCCGCCACCGCAAAGCAAAGCCACACCCGTATGATGACGGGTGAGCCGTGATTTTCCGTTGCTTCGAAGGCCCTGAGTTTGATCTGGGCGTTCAGCAGTTGAATCTTCTTCCCCTTGCGCCAGCCCCTTGCGCCAGGATTGCAGAGGTTGTCGTCGTGAACATTTCCGCCAGCCACGACACCGCGGAGCTGACTTGGGAGAGGCGCCTCGTTGAGCCCAAATTTGGCAGGCTCAAGGTGAGGTCTGTGCGCCAACCCCACTATCATGGAAGATGCCCTCCCCCCCACAAGGGGGGAGGGGTTGAGGGGTTCTAAGAAAACTCACGGTAGTTTCTGTTTTGACTAACACGGCCCCTGAAATATGAGATGGGTGTTTCCTCCAAAGTGACAGATCCCCTACTGATCAACCCGGCGTTTGTGAATCCTGGACTCTCATTCAGGCACTGCATAGGATTTAGGGGTTACGTGCGCCTACATTGCGAGTGGGGGTAGAAATAGAATTCAGAGAGCTTGGAGGCTGCTCAAATGATGTCCTTTCAGTTCTGTTGGGGGGCAGAGTGGAGCCCCGGCTGAACCGTTGACGGGAAGCAAGCTGTCTCGCATCATCCTGGAGGGGCGGTACTCGCCAAAGTATCTTGTTTCGGATGTGTTGATTTATGCAACCCTACTTGGAGCGAAGCAACGCGCCTCGATGACTTGAGAAGACCTTGCCCAAAATCGAAGCCGCCCAATGGTCCATCATAGATTGTCGAATTCGTTGGGAACATGGCAGTCTAAGAGAACCTAAACCAGCAGTTTGGCAGTTTGGCTCCTCTTCTTCTTTCGACCCTTGCCACATGTATCCTGAACCCCCGCCCGAAATTTGATGAAGCACGTGTTTCACCTCTTGACCAAGCATATCACTCAACCCCAGCCCCCATGCGCTCACCAGACCGACAGACGCTTGCGTGGCTCCGAGGCCGCTTCTGAACGACTGTCTGCTGCTGGGCTATAAGGCAAGGGCGGTTGGTCGCCGGGGCCAATGGCCAAGAACTCATTGGCCGAAAGCGGCGGCTTCCTGAAGTTGGTGAAACTGTTCTTGCGGCTATTTCTGTCCGCACATTCGGCATCCGGGCGAGCGGGCGAGCGGACTCTCGGTTGCATGAATGCCAATGATAGAGCCGTAAAGGGCACATGGGGCAGATGTTCTGCAGCAAGCGACTGAGCTCTATGAGAAATCTCCAGGACAAGCACAGAAGGTGAATCCTGCGCCACCTGTTGTGGCCAATATCCAAAGACCTCGCCGGACGTTTGGGGGGGAGGTTGCCGGATTCTGCGTGCTAGTGCAGCAACGATCTAAAGGGCCCACGCTCTCTTGATTCAATGTTAAGCAACCTCCTAGAGGAGCAGGTTCCTTCAAGTTGTTGCCTTTTGGCAAAACCCCGCAAATGGTCCGTGACATATTGACCATCACACCAAAGGGCGTCACTCTGGCGTTGTTTCTCTTGCTTGAGCTGTGTATCTCAAGCCTGCCGACATGTCTGCCTCAAGCTTGACAAATTTCTTCCATAGGCAGAGATGGAGAAGCGGGAGCAATGGGAGCTCGCCCTGGCGGAGTACATCTGCAAGATGCAGGTGGCAAGGCCGGAAGTCTTGCGGGCCACTGCCGCCCATCGCATCTTTGAGCGGTGCGGCGCCGCTCTGTGGCCCGGAAGCCAGAACATGTATTTCAAGAGCAGGCAGACAGAGCGCATCCAAGAGTTCTGGACCCACTCTTGGAGCAGCAGCCCCTGGAAGAAGTACCTCACCTTGTTGCTGCGGCACAACGGGCCGCCAGCCCTGGTCCTCGGCACGGCTTCCAGCGCCCTGGGCACCGCGCTGGTGAAGCAAGGCCTGTCGCTGGCCTTCGGCGCAGCGGGGGTTGGCCTGGCCCTGGCCTTCTGGCGGTCTGGCAAGACCCTCGCAATGCTTCGGGATTTGAGTTCTTGGATTCCCATATAACATAAGACAAAAGTTGATGTTGGGTTTTTTGTTTATGTCATCGTCCCTCTAAGATCTGTAAGGATGGTGTTCTTGGATCGCATGTGCATTAACCAAGCGGACGGCGCGATGAAGATGGGGGCATTGTGCAGCCTGGCAGGCTTAGTCAACAAGTCCGACTCTATGCTCGTGCTTTGGGACGTGCACTTTGCGCAGAGTCTGTGGTGCATGTTCGAGGTAACCGCTTTTCTGAAGAGCAGCAACACCAAGCCGCTGACCATATGCCCCATCACGACTGGACCTTGTTCCATGGTCATCTTCCTCACCGTTTTTCTCGCCTCCGTGGCTCTGATGGTTTCGGTCCCACATGCCGAAAACTTTGCCACCCACGGCGCCCTGCTGCTTGCCACCTGCCTGGGCAGTGCCTATGCAGTGGCACACATGCTGCGCGTCTTCTACCGCTCCGTGGAATCCATGCAGCGGCAGCTCCATGGCTTCGAGCTCAAAAGCATGCAGTGTGCCTGCGCCATGAGCCATGTGAACTCGGAGGGCGAGGAGATGGTTTGTGACAGGGAGGTGACATGAGAGAGTGGCAAGTCATGTCTTTTGTTTCCGGCATGGTTGTGCATGGTTTCCATTCAGCCAGTTGCAGCAAAAGCTCACTCACTTTTCTCTTGCTCCCCCACTCTTTTTTGAGATTCAGGTGATCACCATGTGCATCTGCCGGTGGTTCGGCAGCTGCGAAGACTTCGAGCGCTACGTCCGCAGTGAGGTCTGCGACGTCCTCACCCAGCAGCTGCACAGCGCCTTTGGACCCGCCTGGTGCTGTGCCATGGCGACTCCGCTGTGGGTCAAAACCAAGGAAACCCCTGGTGAACATCAAAATAGGTCGCAAATGGATGTTCATCCACCCCAAAATGGAGCCATAGGTCATGCCCCATGGCCACATAGGTGTCCTTTTACGGGAAATAGATGGCCCTGGTGGATGATTAAACCACCAGGCAAACCAGGGCCATGCCATGTTTTCTAGCAAAACAACCCAACCCTCCGCACTCACGAGCTTACGACCGTGAACGCGGTTGTGTGAATTCAAGCATGGTTTTCGAGTGGCTTGGGGCCTATGACTGCTCAACAAGCTTTGCATTGAGAGCCTTTCCACCTGTCTGTGTGTCAAACTCGTCTGCGAGCCGATCTCGAGAACTCGAACATCGGTTCCGTTAACAAACGCCAAGCCCCTTCCAAAAAGAAACCCGACGGGGGATTAAGCGAAATTGCTTATTCACAGCCCAAAGCAACACAAAAGCATCACCCTTCCCGAGCCTCAGGGCACACTCAAAACACGAAGGCACCAACATGAAATGTAAACCCAACTGTGCGCCGGGCGGGACATCAAGCAAACCCAGACTGGCGAGCTGCTCTGGCGGGATCCACTGGTGAATGCTGGCGAACCGGTCTGGCTCGATACTGGCCGGATACTCGGCAGGATCCACCGACAGTGGGATACTCGGCGGGACCCACTGGCGAGCTACTCTGGGATACTCAGCGGGATACTCGGCGGGATGCACTGGCGGGCTGCTCTGCTCTGGCAGGATACTCGGCGGGATCCACTGGCGAGCTACTCTGGGATAATTACTTTGTGGGATCCACTGGCGTGGGATACTCAGCGGGATACTCGGCGGGATCCACTGGAGGGCTGCTCTGGCGGGCTACTCGGCGGGATCGCGAGCCGCTCTGGCGGGGATACTCGGCGGGATCCACTGGCGAGCCGCTCTTGCGGGATACTCGGCAGGATCCACTGGCGAGCCGCTCTGGCGGGATACTCGGCGGCATCCACTGGCGAGCAGGTCTGGCAGGATACTGGGCGGATGCACTGGCGAGCAGCTCTGGCAGGATACTTGGCGGGACGCCCTGGTGAGCTGCTCTGGCGAGATACTCGGCGGGATCCACTGGCGAGCTGCTCTGGCGGGATATTGGGTGGGGGTCCCAAACATAAAATCTAACAACCCCTTCCTGTCGGGTGTGGAAAAAGACACCTATAGTATATGTCCCTCAAGGTTTGCCTGACGTCATGAGCAGCTTTTGGGAACTTGCGTTCTTGTTACACGTTGTCACGTACAAAAAACGCGCACACCACATCCTTGCATACTACCTAGTGCATCCGCAACAAGGAGGACCCCAAGATGATCATGCTCGGTCTCTACTGTATGCAAACTTGGGAACACCCGCATGCGCAACATACCTGGTTCCATCTATCAAGAGGACACCCGAGATAATTTTGTCCGCGCTCCATATGTGCGACTTGGGGGCATGGCCCATGTTTTGATGTCCGCGTTTTGTGCAAAGCGATTGCTTTTGCGTCCTATCGCGCCCTCAGAACTTCCGCGAGCCCAAACTGTTGGCGTCTTCCTTCTATCCACAACTTGGGAACACCCGCTCGCCCAAAATGGTTGCCTAGCCGTTCTTCTGTATCAAAGACCAGGGAACACCCTGCGTGTCCAGATCTATGCATTTGCGGACAATGGGTTGCGATAGCGCACGCGTGTTCTTGTGTCTAAACAGGCCAGAAGCGGAAACATGCGACAAAGCTGAACACCGGTGTGGCTGAGTCGCTACCAACGTAAGCCTTTTTTTGGCCGAGCTTCTCCACCAAGATGAATTAGCAGCACAGAAGGGTCTCCTTTCCCCCCAGCGTGCCAGCGAGGCTCTGGATCCCAGTGCGCTCTGGGGATTGGCAAGGCGTGGTGTTTATGGTGACCGTGGCCTGCATCCTTTGCCTCCTGATATTTCCCATCTTGGTATCCTGGACCAAGTGCCTGGCCTACTTGAGTCGCAGCCCAGCCAGCTCCCGTTGCCGGGAGGCTGGCAAAAATGTGCTCGTGCTGCTTTGCTCCATGCCCATTATTCTGTATGTGGCCTCCGCTCTTGCGGTGTGCTCAGCATATGATGGGAGCCTGGAAAGGACGGTTGTCTTTTGCGGCCTGACTCTACCAGCTTGGGCAGTGATGAGGGCTTTAAAGTGCAAAGTAGAGTTGCTTAAGATTGAATGAAGCAGGTATCCCATATCTCACGCTGCTTCTCGGAGAATGAACGCTAGAACTCCGAGCTGCGGCTTGTGGTTTGGTGCTTGGTTCTTTCTCTGTTTTTGTTTACCGAAGGATTCGAACTGCGAGGAGATGTCATGTATGTTCTGGTTGAAGTGCTATCCATCGTCGAGCCAACGCCGAAGAACGGGTCCTTGGCTGAAGCCAACCAGCTCCGGCCCCAAAGCCGTCGGTTGGAAAGAACGACACGGGTGATCTGTGGTCCAAAGGAATGCCCAGGCTTGTGTCTTTTTTTTGCGCCAATCAGAGAGGGGCCCAGAAGTCTGTCTTCTCATTTTGCCACTCGAAAAGCTTGCGGGGGCTTTCTAGAAAAGCAGGCGCACTCCGTATCTTTGGGGTGTCGCTTCTGGAATTCGTCAACGGCTTCAGGCCATGTTAGATGGACACTGAAAGCCTGGTACGGCAACGTGACAATGGTCCATGATTGTTGACAGCAGACTGTGTGATTTGCGATGTGCACACGCCAGCCATACTATGAAGCACCTCCGAGGGAACACACAGCCCTTATTGGCAGGCTCACTCAGCTGCATTTGCGGTTGGTTGGACCTGAATCGAGCCACGAAACAGATCTTCTTCTCAAGTTCGCTCAGTCAGCAATGATAGTTGTACCACTTTGCTTTCTTAAAACTAGCTGCAAGATCCACAAATGGGTGTGGCTCAAAATTAAGAAGCTAGGGTACGCAGGCTTTAGTCTTTGGTTCCATTTATTGTAAACGCTTCGCGTTGCCCGCCTCGGCCCAGCCTAGTTTGAGGGAAGGGTCAGGAACACCGAAATCCAGTGTTGGGAAGGTCCGAATACCTGAAGCTGGCTCCACACAAGTCAGACAAGCCGGCCTCGCCTGGTTGGGCTGGGCCACAGGCTAGTCTCAGACACATCAGATAAGCCTGCGCTGGGCCTGAAGCTAGTCTCGGGCAGCTTGGCTGGACCTTGCTTGCGTGGGTTGTTGGTTGAGCTGAAGCTAGTTTACGGCGGGCTGGGCAGCCGCACTGAGGGGGCTGGGCTATGGCTGGGCTGGGCCTGAGGCCAGTTTCAGACACGTCAGACAGGCCTGGCCAGCAGGCGGACTGCGCTGGGCTAGACGCTAGTTGAGCCCAGGCTGGTGAGGCCCAGTCTTGGCGCTAGATAGGCTGAGGTCTGCGAGTCTCAAACCGGGTGGGCTTGGGTGGGGTTGGCTTAGGCGGGTTGCTGGTTGGGCTGGGCTTGAAGCTAGTCTCAGCCACGAGGCTGCGAAGCCATGGGTGGTGCTGGGCAGCTGGATTATGGTGTTGGTTGCGCCTGGAACTTCGGCTGGCTGGGCTGAGCTGTGCTTGGGCGGGTCGCTGGATGGGCTGAGGCTGGGTAGCGAGTTGCTGGCTAGGCTGGGCTCGCACACGTAAGACACGCCAGCAGGCGGGCTGAGGGACTGGGCCTGAGGCTAGTCTCAGGCTAACATACCTTGAGACCAGTCTCAGACCGCCGAAGCCTGGTCAGCCTGGGCTGCTGAGTAGCTGGCATAGCTTGAGACCAGTCTCAGACACGTGAGACTGGTCGTTGGCCTGAGGCCAGTCTCAGACACGTTAGACAAACCTGACCTTGGCACACTGGGCTGAGCTGGCATACCCTGACATGCGCTGGGGCCTGGGCTGGGCAGGCTTTGGGCTGGGCCTGAAGCTAGTCTCAGCCACGAGGCGAAGCCATGGGTGGGTTGCTGGCTGCCGGGCAGCCGGACCAGGCTGCTGGTTGTGCCTGGAACTTGGGCTGGGCGGGCTGGGCTGAGCTGTGCTTGGGCGGGTTGCTGGATGGGCAAGGCCTGTTTCATACACACTTGGGCCTGAGGTGGGTGGCGAGTTGGCTGGGCTGGGCCTGAGGCCAGTCGCAGACACGTAAGACACGCCAGCAGGCGGGCTGGCATACCTTTGAGACGGGGCTGGGCCTGCTGGATGATTTGGGGCCAGACGCGAGCGGGCAGCCGGACTGAGGGGCTGGGGCACGTCAGACGGGCTTGGATGACTTGGGGTGGGCCTGTTTCAGACAAGCTGGGCTGACAGGCCTGGCCAGCAGGCGGGTTGCTGGTTGGGCTGGGCCTGAGCCTAGTCTCAGACACGTCAGGCAGGCCTGGCCACCAGGAGGTCATGCTTTTCAGGACAAAAAAGCAATTTTTTAGTGATTTTCGCAATTGTCAGCACATTTTCGAACAAAAAATGGACCCATGGAGCTGGACGCCGACGAACCCCGAAAATTTCAAGGCCCGCCGGACACGACATGGGTGGGGGGGGGGGGGGGGGGTGGGGGGGGGCCCGGCAAAATTTTGGTTGGGGAAAAGCGAAGATTCTTTTTGGAGAAGAGATCTGAGCGCCCTTGGCCCCTTTGGGGCCGAGGCGAATTAAGGTGCCATTTTGTTACATTTTTGTGAGCCACAGCCAAATCAAGAGTCGTGGCGCAATCCTTCAGTGCTGCGCCTGAACCTGGAAGCTAAACAGAGGCCATTTGTGGGAATCTCGCAGGCATCAGGCGCCTTGTCATTGTTTACCCAGTTGCAACCAGTGGATTTCGCCCTTTAGGGTTCCGATTCCTTTAAACTCAACCAACCTTTCCCTGGCCACTGGGCATCTGTGGTTAGGCCCTTTGCTCGCAGTGTGAGCCACGTGCTCAAAACCCGGGGATTGATGAAGGTGAGGGGCAGTCCCAGCCAGAAATAGTTGCGGATATCCGCCTTCTTAATTCTTGAAGCATGGTTGTTCTAGGTAGACCATTTGAATACCGGGTTTTGATTGTGACTCATGTGAGCGCTCACTCCTCATCTTTGGGGTGTCGCTTTTGGAATTCGCGTTGGCAAGGGTCGGCGGTGCATTGGTTCTTTCGTGCATGTCTCAAGGCGATGCATTTTGAGACGCAATGCACTTGGTGAACGCGCATGTGCGAGCCATGTTTTGCATTAATGTTCGGCCGGTGCTAATATTTGAATGCCTAGTCAAGGCTTCAGGCCATATTTAAGGAGCATGCTGCAGTTAGAGCAAGACTTGAACGTCAAGCATTTGAAGTCTCTTACGCCAAGTTGACAATCGGCCCACAGCGCGTTCAGGTTCGAGGCGCCTTGTGGTTGTTCAGGCCCTTTGCTTGCAATCGACAAAGTTCGACAGTGCATTGGTTCTTTCGTGCATGTCTCAAGCGGAGGCGTTTTGAGACACACTGCACATGGTGAACGCGTGTGTGCTTGCCATGCTGTGGACTAATGTTGGGCAGATGCGAATTGTTGCACGGCTAGCCAAGGCTTCAGGTCATGCTAGATGGACATGCCAGAGCAAGAGTTGATCGTTAAGCATTGAAAGTCTGTTACGGCAAGTTGGAAGTGGTACATACATGTAGGTTGTTGGCATGACTTACGTGTTACTCAGCGCTCAACATAGCATGCAGAGGCATGTTGTTGAAAACTAGACGTGACCCGCAACTGGCGTGCACTTGGGACATGTGTGACGTAGAGCACCGAGGCCGGCCCATCCCACAATGAAGTCTGGTCAAGTTTGCGCTCCTACTAGGCACTGGTGCAAATCCAGGCCTCTATAGTCCGAGCAGAGCGGTATGCTACTCCATGCAGATAAACATGTGATCCCCAAACAAAGGCCCCCAAGGAGCTTCCTCTCAAAACACGGAAGTTTCAGTCTGCAGGAGTGTAGCGACTGGGGGGTTCCACTTGGGCACATGGTCAATCAGCACGGCATATCAGCCATTCCGAGCAGTCAGACTCCATACTCCGTATCTTGGGGTATGGCTATTCAACCTCGGACTGCATTGCTCAAGGATCGTGCAGGCTGCAAAGCGCAGAAAAGCAGGTCCGGGTGCAGCAGGGATGTGATGTGCTACTGTTGGACCTCTTTCTATCTCTTTCTCCAACATGATTTTCTGGTTCAGATGGTGTGTCTACAAATGGGGGCCCCAAAGAAGGCTGGTTGTCCTTGGTTAACACCCAAAAAAGGGTAGCCTCAAAGAAATACCCCCGCATCTCTTGATTGCGCGGTTCTGCTTGAACCAGGTGGCACTAGTAGCATGCAGGTACACCATCCGTTTGAGGCTATCTCCTTTCATTGAGTGGGTAGCCTCGCTTTTTGGATAAGTTTGAGCACCGGGGACACGTGCGTTGCACTCCTCAGAGCGGTCAACGAAGTTCGACTCGCGCACTGAGGCTTGTCCACCTGCAGCTTTCATTCAAGCAACACTGAGCACGTAGCAATTAGAAGGTGGTTGGCCCCATGTAGTGCTGGAACTTGCCTGCAGAAGCATGTTGTGAACTGGCCGGTGGACCAGTGAATGCTTGTCGCTTGTCACCCGGACTAACCCATCCCATTGTTTCTGTAAGATATGTGATTGCGTGTCACCAAGGTTCGATTGGGGCTTGCTTGTGAAGCAAGCACAGCCGCGTTGGTGACACACGAAGACACCAGGGCGTCGAGAGGGTTTGCCTTTTGCGAAACGAAATAAATAAACTTCACGGGGGGACCCCTCTAGAGTTCGGGTTGTCTCAAAAGAAAAGGCGAGTAAGTCACCCCAAGGCGGTTTTCACCTCGGTTTTTCCCCCAAAAAATTCCGCCCCCCAAAGCGCCCAAATTGGATAGTCCCAAAAATAGGCGAGAACCCCAAAGCGGTTTCACCTTGGTTTCCCGAGAAAAAAGGGAGAAAAAAAAGCACCCCCAAAGAGCCCAAGTTGAATACCGAGATCCCGGCGTCGCCCGGAGCTCTTTGGAGGTGGAGATCTCCGACGGCCTGGGCTGGGCCGTCAACCCGGGCTGCAACGCCAGCGAGGGAGGCGGGGAGAAGCAAAATCCCACGGGAAGGCCGGCGCGGTTTGATGGGCGAGAGTCGGAGATGTAAAAGATGGCTGCCACTAAAAGCGGGTGGCTTTCCACTAAAAACGCGTGGCTTTCCCCGGAAATTGGTGGGCTCAATGTAAAACTGCCCAAGGCCGAGCGCCCGGGATCAACCTTCATGTCACGTGCATTCGCAGACTTTTCGAATTGGTCCTGAAAAGCTTTTGGAATACGATGTGTAGGCAGGTCTGCTTGCACAGTTGAAAAGGCCATTTCACTGGCGGACGAGGTCAGAGTATTGGCGCCAGTGCCAGATGGCGTCTTCCAGTGAGGACTATCTTCATCTCGCAACAAAAGCAAGGAGGGCCCAAGGGGAAGCCGTGGTCCCGAGACTTGCAGGAGGTACAGAAACAACAAAGCAGAGTCATGCAGCATGAGCCGAAATGAGGGCTCTACGAGCAAAGCTGCATCGAGAAGGAGACCCCTCCCTACCCCACCCCACCCCATGGGAGAAGTGTAGAGTAGCACAAGTTGTGGCGGAAAGGGGTGATTTGCGCATGAAATTAACGCACCTCGGCCGTCTACACTCATTACTCCAACTGTTTTTTCCATTGGCTTAGCTCGGTTCCCGGCTTTGCCTTGCGCACGGTTGCAAGCGCGATGCTCTGGTTCGAGCCCACTGTGAATGTTGGGTCAGTTTTTTTTTTTTTTTTTTTTTTTTTTTTTTCCGGTTGCTCGAGGCAGTGCGTGACATCCAGGGCGAGCAAAAAAATCGGAGTGGTTGAAACAGCACGCCTTGGTGCGCGACATCCTCCGGGGGCCGATCTTTTCCACTTCTCACTTTGGGGAGTATGCCCTTTGACACCACGCTGACTGACTCGCCACTTCCCATGCCCGCGGGCTGGCTAGCAGCTGCATCTCATGAGTTTGCTTGTGTGTGTGTGTGTGCAAGCAGATGATCTTGTTTTGGGATGGGCATTTCTCGCACTGAAGGTGTGATGTCTAACTTTGCTTGAGGAGTCGGAACGTTGGTTGCCCTGCTGATCCGTGCTGGTCACATGTTCCGGGAGATTTAAGGTAATTATGGTGGTAAGTCACCGTGCAACGTTGTCTCCCCAACTTGTTGGGATGTCTTGTCCAGGATGTGCCATGTCACCAACGAAATGTCACCACATGCACACATTCGCGCCCCCCACAGACATATCTCAGAAAACAGGCCAAGGCATCCATGTTCTGTGACGCGCAAGCGACTTGCATGCCGCGCCTTGAGTGGAGCAGTTTCACCGTTTCACCACTACCCGTCCTGTCTGTCTGTTTGAAGCGACAGAAGCGAAGGCGCATTGCGAAGATGTGGGTTTGTTTTATTGAAGGGGACCCTTCTTGGGGTTGGTTGGGAGGGCGCCCGGAGGCGAAGGACTCAAGTCACTTTGTGGACAAACCCCAGGCTGCATCCTCAGCGGACTGTCTTGTGGCACTGCCTATGAGGCGCGAGGAAGCGTGCAGGAAGATGGTTTCGTGAGAGTGGAGACGGTGACTTTCACTTGCTCAAGAGTCGTTTGAAGTTTTCTAGGTGGTTGCAGGACATGGTCATGGCTGGTAGATGTTGGTTATCTCAAATAATCAACGCCGTTCGTCCTGAAGGGCGTGAGTCCTTGTAGGGTTGTGTCACACCTGTGCTGCTGCCTTCTCAAGTAAGCAGCCACTGTTTGCTGTTTCTTGTCCCATGCCACTGGGTAGCTTGCCGCAGACAAGCTCGCAGACTCATCGACAGCCTTTGCGATTTCCGCCACAGAACATAGATCAGAAATAACGGAACCACAAACAATGGATGAAAATTAATGACAATCTGCAGGATGCAAGAAACAAGGTGCTGCACAGTCACCGCCCCCGGAAGGAGGTGTCTGAAATATCCTGGTCGCCAACTCTTTGTGAGGTCTGCTAGAACGGACCGGCCAGTACATTTGTTCGGGGTCCCCCAACTTCCAGACCCGCCTTTATCCTCTGGCTTTTGTTTGGGGTACAGGTGTTTTACACAAGCCGAGGTTTCTTCACCTTGCAGGGCCCCTTTCAGTTGGGAGAACTTCAGCGCCCGACCCTTCGCCACTTCCGCTTTTTACGTTCTTGCCACTTCGTTTCACTGGGCTCATCGTAAATGTGTAAACGCCCTGAGAGCAAGATATAAACCAGGGAGCTCGATGTCGTGTGGCTCAACTGCATCCTTATGTCGAATTCTTAGTATATATATATATACATATATATATATATATTGTTGTAGATGTTGTAGACTCAAAGTCTAAAGGTCAATGGGTTTGGGGCGCTCAGAGTTTCCTGCGTCGGGAGATGCCTCGAGTCGTTCGCCAGGTGCGCGCGGCTCCGCGCTGCAGCGACCACCTGGCGGAGCCGTCTTGGGCGATGTCGGCCTTCACGACCAGCGCAGGCGAGCTCCCGCACTTGATACACTTTTTGAAGTGAAGGACCTATTCTTACCCCTTAAAAACACAACTTTTCAACTTGTTGGGTAACATGGGCTATATGTCTGTAAAAGATTAACTTCCCCAGGGCTTGGAGTTTTAAGGGGTAAGTATTGGTGGCAAACAAAGGTTCAGACGTTTCCTGGCTTCACTCAGGTGCCCTCAGATTACCCATGTGCTTGGAGCCTCTGAAAGGGTGAGGGTCCCAAGCTTCTTTGTGGCGATATAGAGGGAGCAAGATTTCCAGTTGCCCTTTTCCTGCTTTATGAAGGCTGCCCCGCTTTGCCCCTGCTCTCCCTTTAGATTGTTGCCAGTTCATGTACTCAATCTCTGTCGAAGCTGAGGGTTGAAAGGTCAAAGAGCCCACGTGCCCCTTACATTCTTCATCCCTCTTTCAGGGAGTAGCCTCTGGGAATCAAGAGCAGTTTTGCAGGAAGCAATTGACTGATCCCGGTAGAATCTAGCCCATGCCCACCCGACTCAAAGGATTTCCAGGCGCGTGGCCCAGAAGACATGGGGAGGAATTGAACCTAGCAGAAAGTGTTCGCAATCCCCGGTAAGCGGATTCTTCTACAAGCGGGGGAGTCCCCGTTTGGATGGTTTTCTTAGCAAAGCAAGGGGAACCAAAGCCAGCACATGGCAGGGTTCTCGGTTTGGACACAATTGCAAACTCATACAAACATGTTCTTTGGAGTCCATGCCCTCAACGTTTCGGAATGCGCATCGCTCCCGTGGCCGGCTTATTGCAATGTAGGCCGCGTCGTGCGTTCATGTTCCACGTCGCGGCGGCAAACAGGTGCAAGATCCCTATGTTATGTTGGTCACTGTGGGGAAGCCAGTTGGTCTGAGAGTCTTGGTATTACACCCTGGGATTGCACCCTTGGGAAACGACCCAGAATGGTTCAAAATCACACGGTTTTATCCGGACACGTGCCTAAATGGGGTCAATGCCCAGGTGTATTCCCAGGGTGTAATACACAAAACCCCTAGAGTTGGACAGCTTTCTGGAGCCGCAGTCGTTCTGGATGTGCAGCATTGCCGGTCGGCCGCTTTCATGGGGTCCTAAGAATCTTGGGACTTCACACGCCTTGAGGTCCAAACACTTTTCACTGGAGTGTCCTTTCTCCCTCCGGAGGGTCCAAGAGAAAATTGTGTTTGTTAAAAATAAAATGTGTAAATCATGATTAATCTTCAGGAGGCAAATCAAGCAGACCACCAATTCAATAGCTTAACAACCAGGTCTTACTTCTATATACGCTGGATTCCCCAAAACTTTGCAAGTAGTAAACTCCTTACAAGGGAAGCCCGGTAGATTCCCACGGTTTCTGCTTGGTTTCCTTGCAATCTGCCAGGCGCATCCAGGTCCCCAGGCGAAAAACCAGCGGAAATCACTCGCTCGCTGCGAGGCGCCGACTGCGCGCGGAGGGCCGGGAAGCCGGCCGGGGTGCTGCTGCTGCCCAGCTCCGTCAGCAGCCTGCGGGTCAGCTGGGAGGCCAGCGAGCGGCTTTGGCTTGGGCCGCGGGGGCGGGAGCGGTTTCCTCGGAGAGGAAACAAGTGGTTCATGGTCCACATGGCATAGTACCAGATAGGAAACCGCATTTGTCCACAAATAGGAAAGATGAAAGGCTTTGTGGCTTTGTGGAAAGAGAGTTAGAAGAGCCTGCTTTTCGCAGTGGCAGCGAATGGAACGAAGACTCTTTCTTTGGGCTTCGGCTGGGAGTCAAAGGAAGCTGGGATGTTTCCTTAAAATGGTACATGGCCAGTTTGGACCCAGACATGGTAAAACTGCGAAAGTGTGGGGCAGGTTGAACGAATCCCGTGCCAAGTTTCTGAACTGGTGGGGGAATATCAACTCAGGAACTAAAGTCGTTTGCGGACTCAGACCCTCCACACCAGAGTCGCCTCGAGTTTTCTGCCTCTTGCTGCCTTTTTGCCCAGGCCGGCAGCTCAAATGCCACGGCCCCAGGGCCGGGATGCGCGTGATGGTCCAGCTCATGTCGAATTTAGGGGGTCGTCTAGGGCAACAGTTTGAGAGGGTTTTGCCATTTGGGCCTTGAACAGTAGGGGCACTGGAGACTTCAGAGGCAGCCCTTGTGACTGTTGGCTTGAATGCAGCATGTGTTTGAGTTGCTAGGTGGTTGCCGTTGTTGGGACAACATGGGCCCCGTGGAGTCGTCAGGAGTCATTAGCTGCCTTGTTTCAGAGTTGTCCCTACCTGGAACCATGAATGATGAGCCCCTGCTGACACCAGTTGCCACCTTTGGATTCTTTTGCCAGAAGCGACATGCTTTCTTGAGAGTCTTGCCTGGCCCCTTTCTTTCCAGATTTTGGAGAGTGGCAGGTTTCAAATGTTCAGTATTGGTTCCGCTGTTGAAGCCATTCATTGCTTCTGACATGCGCCCGCTCCGCGTTTGTAAGCCAAATGTCAGGCCTCTTCTCTCAGCAAGGAGAAGTTGCAGCAACCTGCTGTCCTCGCCCGGATTGTGCTGGTAGTGGTTGTTGTTTTCGTTTCCATGTTCTACCTGCATCTGATGAGGCCTGTGGCTATTTCGGCTTTCCAGCTTTGTTTGGCGGAGAGAGGGCGCGCAAGCCGGCTCCTTCCCTTGCGGAAGGCCGCAATGCAGCGCGAGAAGTACAGGGAGCGCTTGCAGGAGACACTCAAAACTCGACACTGACACATGCTCAGTCGTTTCAAGGCTGGGTGTGTGCACTTGTGTGTCTTGGAGTAGGAATAACCGGCAACCAAAAGGAACAGAGCTTCAAGGCAATCCCAAGAGCTCTCAGAGACTGAAGTGGTCGAGGCTTCATTCGGAACGGTAGCTTTGAGGGCTAGGCAAGATGCTGAACATGATTCCTCTGTATGTGATTGAACCTGCTTGACCTGTCGCATGTTTGATCTAGGTCTTCAGGTGTGACCTTTCAGGCAAATGAAGGATGCTCGGATTTTTTCGCGGCGGTGGTCCCTCCAGCAGGTTAACCTAGAAGAATATTTTCAAGTATCTCAGGCTATTTTACTGTCTTCCAGAAAACTAGGGGAACTGTGTGTGTGAATGTGAATTGTCCAATTTCCTTTGTTTATCGCTGGTCAAGCATGTTCTCTTCTCCCTCTTCAAACACCATCCAAGCCGGGAGAGATCAATTGGGTTTATCACAGTTGTGGGATCCCCCTTTCCTTTTTGCTGGAGCTGATCAATCTGCACAAACTGAAATTAATCAGCTCACCTAAGGGTGCCCTCGCGAGGTCACCCATGATGAACTTACTCGGGGAGCCTCACGGAGCCTTACTCGGGTGTCCAACATCTATTTGGCTCTAACTTCTTGGGAACCTCCTCTCGGAAAGCACCACCTCACTACCCCCACCACCCCCACCACCCCCACTACCCCCACCACCCCCACCACCCCCACCACCCCCACTACCCCCACTACCCCCACCACCCCCACTACCCCCACCACCCCCGCCACCCCCACCACCCCGCTACACCCCCACCACCCCCTCCACCCCGCAACACCCACTACCCCACCACCCCACCACCCCCCACCCCACACCTCCACTACCCCACACCCCCCCCACACATCCCCCCCAATAATCCCCCCCCCCCATACCCCACTACCCACACCCCCACTACCCCACCACCCACCACCCCCCACCCCCACCCCCACCACCCACCCCCCATACCCACACCCCACACACCCGCCACCCCACACCACCCCACTACCCCCACTACCCCTCCACCCCACTACCCCACTACCCACCACCCCACTACCCCCACACCCCACCACCCCCCACACCCCACCCCCCACTACCCCCCCCCCACCACCCCACTACCCCCACACCCCCACCACCCCACACACCCCTACCACCACCCACCCCACACTACCCCCACCCCCCACCTACCCACTTACCCCCACCACCCCCACCACCCCCACCACCCCCACCACCCCCACCACCCCCACCACCCCCACTACCCCCACCACCCCCACCACCCCCGCCACCCCCACCACCCCCACTACCCCCACTACCCCCACCACCCCCACTACCCCCACTACCCCCACCACCCCCACTACCCCCACCACCCCCACCACCCCCACCACCCCCACCACCCCCACTACCCCCACCACCCCCACACCCCACTACCCCCCGCACCCCCGCACCCCCTTACCCCACTACCACCACCCCCATACCCCATACCCCCACCACCACTACCCCCACCACCCCACCACCCCACGACCCCCACTACCCCCACCACCCCCACCACCCCCACCACCCCCACTACCCCCACTACCCCCACCACCCCCACCACCCCCACTACCCCCACCACCCCCACCACCCCCACCACCCCCACCACCCCCACTACCCCCACTACCCCCACCACCCCCCCTCCCCCAACAAAAACCATGTGCCTATAGGACCCCTGGGTTTTTGGTGGATCGCCAGGAGCAGCTGGCACACGTGCAGGCGAGCGTGAAGGCGCTGGAGGAAAGGCGCCAGGAGTACCTGGAGCTCAGGTCCGAGAGTCCAGAGTCGGACGTTTTTGTTTCTCTTTCTTGACTTTTTTTTTCTCCGCTGGCTTGTTTTGTGTTTTTATTTTATATTTTTTGGGTGGGGTTTGGGGCGGGGGGGGGGGTTGGTTGGGGGGGGAGAGTTTGGGGGGATTTGTTTTTTCCCTCTGGTTTTGGGCTTTCCTTGTTTGTTGAGGTGGGTTGGGGCGGGGGGAGTTTGGTGGGATTTTTGGCGGTGGGTGTGCTGTTTGTTCTTCTTTCGCTAATTTTTGCCTTGCTTTTTTTGGCGGGGCGTTGGTTGCGGGGAGGGGGTTTACGGTCATTCTGGTTGTCTTCTCTTTTCATGAGTTTGCAGATTAAATAATTGTGCATTCCCGCATTATCTTATCAATTAATGAGTCACTTTACTCTTGTCTGTTTTAATTAGTTATTTTTGGTACACGTCTTTTATCAATCTATTGGTCTTCTTCTTCTAGTTCTTCTTTTTTGGAGTTGTAGTGATATGCTTTGAACCCGCATGTTCATGTGGAATGTGGAAGAACCAAGGGCCAATATGTGTTTTGAACTAATATGTTACGTTTTTCCCCAAACAGTTTACTGTGAGGGGTTCTAAATTCATTTAAGGTGGCTCGCCTGTTGCCAAGCCCTAGCCTGGATGCCTGGCACGGCTCTCCAGGCGGACAGATTCACTTGTCTCCCTTTGTCTCCCTTCATTTGTCTCCCGTTGTCTCCCAGCCTGGATGCCTGGCACGGCTCTCCAGGCGGACAGATTCACTTGTCTCCCTTTGTCTCCCTTCATTTGTCTCCCGTTGTCTCCCAGCCTGGATGCCTGGCACGGCTCTCCAGGCGGACAGATTCACTTGTCTCCCTTTGTCTCCCTTCATTTGTCTCCCGTTGTCTCCCAGCCTGGATGCCTGGCACGGCTCCCAGGCGGATTCACTTGTCTCCTTTGTCTCCCTTCATTTGTCTCCCGTTGTCTCCCAGCCTGGATGCCTGGCACGGCTCTCCAGGCGGACACTTGATTTGTCATTTGTCTCCCGTTGTCTCCCAGCCTGGATGCCTGGCATTCGGCTCTCCAGTTGTCTCCCTTTGATTCTCCCGTCTCCCAGCCTGGATGCCTGGCACGGCTCCCAGGCGGACAGATTCACTTGTCTCCTTTGTCTCCCTTCATTTGTCTCCCGTTGTCTCCCAGCCTGGATGCCTGGCACGGCTCTCCAGGCGGACAGATTCACTTGTCTCCCTTTGTCTCCCTTCATTTGTCTCCCGTTGTCTGCCAGCCTGGATGCCTGGCACGGCTCTCCAGGCGGACCCGTTGTCTCCCGGACAGATTCACTTGTCTCCAGGCGCACAGTTCACTTGTCTTGCTGTCTCCCAGCCTGGATGTCTGTCACGGCTCTCCAGGCGGACGGATTCACTTGTCTCCCTTGGTTCCCCTTCATTTGCCTCCCATCTCTGTGGGTGGACGGATTCCTTTGTCTCCCTTTATTTGTCTCCCGTTGTCTCCCAGCCTGGATGCCTGGCACGGCTCTCTGGGTGGACGGATTCATTTGTCTCCCGTTGTCTCCCAGCCTGGATGTGTGGCACTCACGCTCCGCGGTTTCCTTCACTTCCCGCGGTTCTGTCCTTTTGGCGGGGTCTGGTTTGCCTTCGGCTTTGGCCCTGGCTTCGGTCATTCCTTGTCTTGTGGATGTTGGGGACAGGGTCCTCCTCTGTCTGCCCTTCATCTCGCTTGGGCTCGTGGTGGGTCGTCTTCCTTGTCTATCGTTGGCTACACCCTGTCTGTTCGTCTGCGGTGCACGGCTTCAGCTACGAGAAGGCTCTGTTAACCCCCCGGTGAAACAAACGTGAATCATGCTGGAGTTAAATCCTCTATCGATTCTTCGAGGATGTTCAACGAACCTTACGCTGAGATACCCAGTGGTGCTCTTGGCACCTGGGGTTGTCCCGGCTCTCCCGGCAAACGGGTTCATTTGTCTCCCTCTCCCTCCATTTGCCTGACGGATTCATTTGTCTCCCTTTGTCTCCCTTTATTTGGCCCCGGTTGTCTCCCAGCCTGGACGCCTGTCACGGCTCTCTGGGGTGGAGGGGTTCATTTGTCTCCCTTTGTCTCCCTTCATTTGTCTCCCGTTGTCTCCCAGCCTGGATGCCTGGCACGGCTCTCTGGGTGGACGGGTTCATTTGTCTCCCTTTGTCTCCCTTCATTTGGCTCCCCTTGTCTCCCAGCCTGGATGTCTGGGTGGACGGGTTCATTTGTCTCCCTTTGTCTCCCTTCATTTGTCTGGCACGGCTCTCTGGGCTTTGTTTCCCTTCATTTGTCTCCCGTTGTCTCCCAGCCTGGATGTCTGGCACGGCTCTCCAGGCGGACAGATTCACTTGTCTCCCTTTGTCTCCCTTCATTTGTCTCCCGTTGTCTCCCAGCCTGGATGCCTGGCACGGCTCTTTGGGTGGACAGTTTCACTTGTCTCCCTTTGTCTCCCTTCATTTGGCTCCCCTTGTCTCCCAGCCTGGATGTCTGTCACGGCTCTCCAGGCGGACGGATTCACTTGTCTCCCTTGGTTCCCCTTCATTTGTCTCCCATCTCTGTGGGTGGACGGATTGATTTGTCTCCCTTTGTCTCCCTTTGTCTCCCTTTATTTGTCTCCCGTTGTCTCCCAGCCTGGATGCCTCTCTGGGTGGACGGATTCATTTGTCTCCCTTTGTCTCCCTTTGTTTGTCTCCCGTTGTCTCCCAGCCTGGATGCCCCTCTGGGTGGACGGATTCATTTGTCTCCCGTTGTCTCCCAGCCTGGATGTGTGGCACTCACGCTCCGCGGTTTCCTTCACTTCCCGCGGTTCTGTCCTTTTGGCGGGGTCTGGTTTGCCTTCGGCTTCGGCCCTGGCTTCGGTCATTCCTTGTCTTGTGGATGTTGGGGACAGGGTCCTCTGTCTGCCCTTCATCTGGACTTCGATTTTGCTTGGGCTCGTGGTGGGTCGTCTTCCTTGTCTATCGTTGGCTACACCCTGTCTGTTCGTTCAGTGCCTCGTTATCAGTTGCGGCCTCTCTCTGTCCTTGCTCGCATTTGGAGTCCCGAGCTGACGAGAGCGGTGCGCTGCGGTGCACGGCTTCAGCTACGAGAAGGCTCTGTTAACCCCCCGGTGAAACAAACGTGAATCACGCTGGAGTTAAATCGTCTATCGATTCTTTGATGATGTTCAACGAACCTACGCCGAGATACCCAGTGGTGCTCTTGGCACCTGGGGTTGTCCCGGCTCTCCCGGCGGACGGGTTCCTCTCCCTTCATTTGCCTGACAGATTCATTTGTCTCCCTTTGTCTCCCTTTATTTGGCCCCGGTTGTCTCCCAGCCTGGATGCCTGTCACGGCTCTCTGGGTGGACGGATTCGTTTGTCTCCCAGCTTGGATGTCTGGCACGGCTCTCCGGGCGGACGGGTTCATTTGTCTCCCTTTGTCTCCTTCTTGTTGTCCCCCAGCCTGGATGCCTGGCACGGCTCCCTGGTCATTCGCGGTGTATTCCGCGGGCACGCATGTGTGTTTGAGGCTCAGAAACGTGTGTTTGAGCGCGCGCGTGCGCTTGATCAAGCCACAGGCAGCATGCTGCGGATGCACGTACGAGTGCTTCAAGTAAATGATTGTGTGTTCTTGGTGTGTTCCAGCTGACCACATCGGCGCGTTCCAAGTGAACACGCACTTTTTGCATGTGACCACATGAGTGTGTTCCACGTCAGCACATGTTTGTGTTCCAGGTGAAAGCATGCGATTGTTCTGATAAAACACATATGCGATCCGGTCAAAATTCCTAGTAAGGGGGTTTAGTCTACAGAGGCCACCGTCGCAGTCACTTTGTGCAGTTTTAAATGGAGGGCCATTTTTTTTAGGAATTTTTTCGTTTTTTTTAGGAATTATTTTTGTTTTTCAGGGTCGGTGGCTTTTCGGCTTTTTGGCTTTTGTGGCTTTTACGTGGGTTTTTGTGGCTTTCGTGGCTTTTCATTTCGCATCATCTGCATTCACAGTTCCTCTCTTTTCGCATCCTCTGCATTGCCAGTTCCGCTGCGGCAGGTGGCTTTTTGGCTTTTTGGCTTTTTGGCTTTTTGGCTTTTGGCGGCTTTCTGGCTTTGGCTTTTCGCATCCTGATGCTTTTCCAGTTGGCTTCCTGCATCCTCAGCATCGCCAGTTCCTCTCTGGGCCCCCGCCACCCCCCTTTCGATTAAAATGCACGCCTATTTGAATCATCACTTTTTCGATCATCATGCGACAGCTACTTTTTAGATTCTTTGCCCCTAATTTTTCGATCATCATGGGGGGGGCTGCCGCCCCCCCCAACCCCCCCGCTATTTTTTAGACTTTTTGCCCCTGATTGAATCATCACTTTTTCGATCATCATGGGGGGGGCTGCCGCCACGTTTTAGGTGTTTTACAGGGATTAGTTTGCCCGTATTTGAATCCTCACTTTTACCATGAGATGCGGGAAGCCAATTTGCTGGTGATGCTGGGGATGTTGGCTGGACATGCGGGGGATGTTGAAAACGATGCTGATGATGTTGACGGACTAGCGTAAAATACGTACATTTCGCGAGAAAATGCTGTAAATTACAGCATTTTAGTAGCCAGGACGGAGAACAAAAAAATCCCAAAATAAAACAAAAAAATCCCAAATTAAATCTCGACCCGTTTTTCATTCACACAAAGCGGAGTCCTGCAAATACCAATGGATTGCCCGCTCCCCACTGGAGGCGCTAGGATGGCGCTTGGTTTGCGCTAGGGTCTTCGGTGATCTTGGTTTCCAAGAGTTGGCGCGTGGGTTGCCGCGATGGGCTTTGCGTGGCTTTCAAGGGTGTAATGTTGCAGTTCTTACTTAGTACTTGAAGCCAGCCCGCACGTTTACCTTCATCTTACGTGGCCTTAATTTGTCAAATCCACACAGATGGTCGCCGTGACTCCAAAAAATACGGCGAACCCGCGCTAGCCGCTCTCGCTCTCCTCGCATGCAATTATCATGGAGTGCGATTTGCTGGACAAAGGGGAGAAACAACGGCTGAGGCAAGACGGCAGGGATGCCTTGTACCGAGCATACGGAAGAATTGGGTTGCGTATTTCCCTGCGAAAGCAAATGCTTTACTGAATCGATACGAAGAGTTGCCACAATACGATCAAAGCACTTTAGCAATCGATACGAAAGACACTGTGCAGCTAAGCGAGAAAGAAGCGCAATGCGCCGGAAAGCTTTTGCTAAGCTGAAGCCTGTAACTGCTGGAGACGCATCCGATACTGATAGTACTAGCAGTAGTAGCAGCAGCAGCAGCAGCAGGCTCGCGCGCTAGCAATGTGTTGCAAAAAAGCTAGATTGATCGTACACGAACACTATTTTCCTACTTGGAACACGCATATAAAACACAAGCGTTGTTCAAGGCAGAGCCCCATGGAATAGCGCCTCACAGCCGGCTTCGGGAACTTGATTTATGTGTCGCCCAGGCGTGCAGGAAATGTAAATTCCATGTGAACACATTTTTGTTGTCCAGGTGAACGCATGTGTGTTGCACATTTGTGTTGCACATGTTTCTCCACATGTGCACACACGTGTGTTCCATGTGTACACATATGTGTGTTACAAGTCAACACAGAAGTTTGTTCTGGTTAAACATGCTTGTGTGATCCAGGTCTGCACCAGTGTCGCACGTGAACACAAATGCCTGTTCCAAGTGAGCGCATATATGGGTTCCAGGTGAACACATATGTGTGTTGCAGGTGAACAGAAATGTGCTTTCCAGACATACACACATATGTGTTCCAGGTGTACGCATGTGTGTGTGTGCGTGTTCCGGGCGCGCATATATATATATATATGTGTGTGTGTGTCGCGTGTGCACATATGTGTGTTCCACATGTACACATATGTGCGTTCACGTGCGCACATATGCGTGTTGCACGTGTACACATATGTGTGTTCAGGTGTACACACATGTGTGTTCTTATCAGACACGTGTATGTGTTCCAGGAGAACACATGTTTGTTATCAGATGAACACGTGCGTGTGTGTCTGCTCCGCGTGCACTTTTTTTGTATGTGTGTTCACGTGCACACATTGTGTGTTCACGCGTGCGCACATGTGCGTTCCAACTGGACACGTGTTTGTGTTCCAGGAGGACACATGTTTGTTATCAGATGAACACGTGTGTGTGTGTGTGTCTGCTCCGCATGCGCATGTGTGTGTGTTCATTTGCACACATATGTGTGTTCCACGTGCACACATTTGTGTGTTCACGTGTCCACACATGTGTGTTCCAATTGGACACGTGTTTGTGTTTCAGGTGAATACATGTTTGTTTTCAGATGAACGCACGTGTGTGTGTGTGTTCCGGGTGCGCATATATATGTGTGTGTTCACGTGTACACATATGTGTGTTCACGTGTACACACGTCTGTGTTCCAATTAGACACACGGTTGTGTTCCAGGAGAACACGTGTTTGTTATCAGATGAACACTCGTGTGTGTCTGTGTTTTCCGCGCGCGCATAAATGTGTGTGTTCACATGTGCAGTACACATGTGTGTGTTCCACGTGTGCTGTGTTCACGTGTACACATATGTGTGTTCACGTGTACACACGTCTGTGTTCCAATTAGACACACGGTTGTGTTCCAGGAGAACACGTGTTTGTTATCAGATGAACACTCGTGTGTGTCTGTGTTTTCCGCGCGCGCATAAATGTGTGTGTTCACATGTGCAGTACACATGTGTGTGTTGCACGTGTGCACATGTGTGTGTTCACGTGTGCGCATTTGCGTCTCCCACGTGTACACATATGTGTGTTCACGTGTACACACATGTGTGTTCCAATGGACACGTGTTTGTGTTCCAGGTGAACACATGTTTGTTTTCAGATGAACACTCGTGTGTGTGTGTGTCCGGGTGCGCGTATATATGTGTGTGTTCACGTGTACACATATGTGTGTTCACGTGTACACACGTCTGTGTTCCAATTAGACACACGGTTGTGTTCCAGGAGAACACATGTTTGTTATCAGATGAACACGTGCGTGTGTGTCTGCTCCGCGTGCACTTTTTTGTATGTGTGTTCACGGCACACATTGTGTGTTCGCGCGTGCACACATGTGCGTTCCAACTGGACACGTGTTTGTGTTCCAGGAGGACACATGTTTGTTATCAGATGAACGCGTGTGTGTGTGTGTGTGTGTCTGCTCCGCGTGCGCATGTATGTGTGTTCATTTGCACACATATGTGTGTTCCACATGTACACATTTGTGAGTTCATGTGTCCACACATGTTTGTTCCAATTGGACACGTGTTTGTGTTTCAGGTGAATACATGTTTGTTTTCAGATGAACGCACGTGTGTGTGTGTGTTCCGGGTGCGCATATATATATATATATAAATATGTGTGTGTTCACGTGTACACATATGTGTGTTCACGTGTACACACGGTTGTGTTCCAATTAGACACACGGTTGTGTTCCAGGAGACCACGTGTTTGTTATCAGATGAACACTCGTGTGTGTCTGTGTTTTCCGCGCGCGCATAAATGTGTGTGTTCACATGTGCAGTACACATGTGTGTGTTCCACGTGTGCACATGTGTGTGTGTGTCACGTGTGCGCATTTGCGTCTCCCACGTGTACACATATGTGTGTTCACGTGTACACACATGCGTGTTCCAATTGGACACGTGTTTGTGTTCCAGGAGAACACATGGTTGTTATCAGATGAGCACACGGGTGTGTGTTCCGGGTGCACATATATGTGAGTGTTCACGTGTGCACATATGCGTGTTCACGTGTGCACATATGTGTGTTCCACGTGTACGCACATGTGTGTTCCAATTGGACACGTGTTTGTGTTCCAGGTGAACAGATGTGTGTTTCACGTGAACACATTAGTATGTGCTAGATGAACTTTTTTTGGCATCTGACGACATATTTGCTCTCCAGGTGTGCACATGTATGCGCTCCAGAAAACGCATGATTGTTTTCGAGGTGCGCGCATGTGTGTGCGATTTAGGTGAGCATTTATGTTTGCTCACGTGTGCGCATATGTGTGTTCCACATGTACACACATGTGTGCTTTAATCGCACACGCGGTGTTCCAGGTGGACACATGTTTGTGTTCCAGTGGTATACATATGTGTGTCCCACGCGTACACACATGTGTGCTTTAATTGCGCGTCTTTGTGTTCCAGGTGAACGCATGTGTGTTCCACGTGTACACACATGTGTGTCTGAATTGGACACGCGTTTCATTGTGTTCCAAGTGAACACACATGTGTGTTCCACGTGAACGCATTAGCGTGTCGTAAGTGAACACATATGTGCGTTCCACGTTTGCACATGTGTGTGTGTGCTTTCCAAGAAGCACATGTTTGTTTTCCAGCTCAACACATTTATGCGTGTGCCGCAGGTGAATGTATACTGTTTCAGTCGTATACGTATGTGTGTTCCACGTGTACACACATGTGTGTCTGAATTGGACATGTGTGTTTGAACTGCCCATGTGACTGCGTGCTTGCGCGGCCACACTTGCGTTCACGCGCGCGCGCTCGCCCGCCATCGCGCGCGCTTGCCCAACCTCAGTTCTGGCGCGAAGCATGCCAGCAACACACGTGCAGCAACGCAACGCGCGCCAGGTTCACGACTGCATCATTTTGATTCATCCGTGTTGAAGCGCAGAAAGCCACAAGCTGTTGGCATGTTTGTGCTCGCCCGTCAGCCCTCAACTGTTTGGGGTCTCTGCTGGTGTAATGTTTCCTCCATGTGTTAGGGGGGTTGGTAAGCATTTTAGTTTGGCATGCGGAAGAACCAACGGTCAATATTTTGTTTTATTTTATTTTGTTTAAATGGCGGTGAAAACAACAGCCCTTTTGGTGGATTTTGTTTGGTGGCCTCTCCCCTTTCATTTCCGTGGTTTTGTGGCGGAACCACCGGAAATCAAGGGAGGCCATCATGGGTCGGCAGGTCGCTGCTGCAGGAGCTGCCACGGAAGGTGCGCCATGAGGCGAGCGGACTGGAGCAATGTGCTCTTTGGGTTGGGTTGCCCTTTCCGTTGGTTTCAGAGGGAAAGGAAAGGCTCCCCCCCACGTCTTGGGAAAGAACATCCTAGACACGCATCCAGATTCCACTGGTTTCAGTTTAGTTCCAGAGCCTCAGCCGTCGCCGCAACTTCCCTCCCCGGACATGTCCACTGCATGTGCAGGTCCAACAAACCCACAAAGGACATCAAGTGTTGATGCTGTTTCAAGTCTGGTTCTTCTTTTCTCAGTCAACTTGTCACATGTTATGAGACATCAAACGCCCAGTTCACGTGAGCGACCCAATTCACATGGCACGGCTGGGTCAAATGCCGGATTTGGTGGGCTGCTTGCCAGGTCATGGTGCCCTTTGGGCCCTTGGCCTTCTTCCCTGGCGAGGCCATGGATGCAACTCACGGGTTTTTGGTCCTTCTGAGGGCCCTAAAGCCTTCCCCGGAATTAGCTCCCCTTTTCGACTTTTTTCGTTTTTGGCTTTTTGTTTTTTTGTAATTGGGGTGTCTTTTGTTTTCCACTAACCAGGCAAAAAAGAGAATTGTTTTGCTGGAGTCCTAATTCTAGCTGAGAGCGGTCCTAAAGCAACCCAACCTTCCATTTTGAGAAGGCATTTGAAGGCAAGCACATGTGCCGTTGAGAAGACCGTTGCGCACAAGGTTTTGTGCTTGGAACTGGCCATGCCAAGACGATGGTTGTCATGTTCTTTCCTCCTTTGCCAGGGGGCGAGGAAGGTGTAAATTGGTCTGAAAACTGGTGCTACTCAAATTTCTGGTTGGAAACTCCTAGCGTGATGTTCAAAGGAGCCTCATTTGGACCCAAAAGCTCCGGAGGAAACTCATTTTCTTGGCCCATTGGATAATCTTGGGTCGGTCCCGGCTCCCTTATTTTGGCACATACCCATTTGGCTGTGGGTCAAAACCAATGGAACCAGTTTGGGGTAGGTGCACCACCCATTTTAGTGAATTTTAGTGGGATTGGGATGCTCACTGGGGTACGGGATTTGACACACCCATTTGCCTCCAGTTGGTCCACACCAACGAGATCCTCACGCAGCTGTCCTCAGAGTGGTTCGCTCTGCGCACGGTTCCCAACGCTGTGGCGATGGTGGACCGCCGCTTGGGGCGCCTGGACAAGGAGCAAAAGGATGTCGACAAGGAGGGGTAACTTCACTGTTCTTGGCACGTTTTTCTGTGTTTTTAGATGTTTTGGTTCTTTTCGTTTTTCTGGGGGCGTGCAAAAGACTTTGTTTTTGCTTCCATACCAAGAGTTGTAGTAAGGGTTGGGCAAAATTGGTTGCCACCTCCCGCCCCAAACTTGGAAGGGCCTTCCCCACGGAAACCCACGGTTTTCATGCGGATTTCCCAACTCGACCAACGAAATATAATCGGTGTGTATTTTGGTTTAAAAAAACTGTTTCTTTCTTCTGTGTTTTTGTGAAGTTTTTTTTTGGGGGTGGGGTGGACTGCTGTTTCCCTGCTAAATGAACCAACAAAAAAGCGTGACCATGTTCCCCATTCCCAAGGCACTCCTTTTGCGGGACATCACGCTTCTTTTGGGTGTCACACATTTTGAGACAAGCCAAAGCTGGCAACTATCAATTACGATGCGGGACCCCACAAGCAATTTCAGCAGACGCGAACCAAGGTTGCCGGGGATGTTCAACTAACTGAAGTCGAGAAACAATATGAAGATGTGGTGTGAGAATGGTTTCCCCATGGTTTCCGAGTGGTGCGAAAATGTAGGGAAACCTTCCGGTTTCCCTTCAAGAGAGAAGCCTCGCTACCTGGCTTTTCCTGGGTTTCCTGAGAAACCTCTGAAAAGAAGGATCCCTGGAAAGAATGGTTGGAAGGGTTACTAGAACAGTATGATTCCCTCGTAAAGACCTTAACAAATTGGTTCATTCTGGTTTCCCCATACTTTCCTTAGGTGGATTTCGTTCATAAGTTGGTGTCTCTAGGTTTCCGGGAGCTTTTCCGGAAAGAAGGATTGTTGCACTAGAACAGTCCCGATTCGATTCCCTCGTAAATACCTTAAGCAAATTTGGTGAATTCTGGTTTCCCCAAGGTGGTGCGAGAAGCTCCATGGATTTCGCAACCCACAGTATCCATTATTTTCCACCGTAGTTCTTTTCAAAACCCGGCATTTTGCTGGGTTTCCGGAGGTTTTCCGGAAAGAAGGATATCTTTGTCGCAACCGACAGTCTTTGAAGGAGCACCAGGAAGCCTCCCTGCGCCTCGGCGTCGCGCCGGACCTGCCAAGCGCCGGCGCAAGGCCCGGCGCTGCCGCGGACGTGCCGGCGACGGAGCCGGAGCACGGCGCCGCTAGCGTGCGCGTGGATGAGGATGAGCTTCCGGTCATAGATTTCACTTTGAAACCAACAGGTGGCTGTGGTTGTCAGAAATAGGGTAACCCCAAAATGGAACCCTGGCAAATGGAAACATGGACTAGAACCTGCGGTCCCTGTTGGCTGAATTTTGACCCACACCCAGGTGACAAAGCACCAAGCTAATCAAGTGGACAAACGCCGGCCCTTGGGATGGATGAAACCCTACAGGATGAGCCACCTACTTATGGTCTGAGTTGCTGAAGTGGTGACTTTTGAGTCAGGTTGAACCCTGGAGGATGGATACATGGACATCTGCGAGCCCTTGGAAGACGAGGCGCCGAAGCGCCGCTTTGTTGGCCCCCCTCAGGCAGAGGAGGACGCCTGGGAGTTCTGGCAGCGCCCAGTGAGCGGCTTCGCCGCGCGCCTGCGGGAGCTCGAGGAGTTGGAGGAGGAGGAGCTGGCGGCCCCAGCCGCGTCGGAGGCTGAGCCGCCGGCGACTTCTCCGGCGCCTTCTCCGGCGCGACCCGTGGCCAGCCCGGCGGACTTGTACGAGCTGATGGGCGGCACCGGAAGGCCGCCGGCGGCGCCGGCGGCGCCGGCTGCGCCAGCGCCGAAGTGGGGGGTGGCCGAGACGGTCCGGGAACATGCGCCCCAGCCTGAGCAACGCGCGGCCCCGGCCAGAGTGTCCAGGTTTAAAGCCGAGAGGTCGCAAAAAGGATGAAAAGGTGCGTTCCGCTCAGCAAGGATGTGGATCAGCCGAGAACGGCTGGGACCCTTCAGCATGGTCGGCTTCAGGATGCTTCTAAGATGCTGATTCGTAGTAACGTGGTGGGCACAAGTGGTCAGACAATGGAGGAGAAGGAAGGGGCCCTTGTGGTTTCTTGCAATTCGCGGCCACCAGAGTTCCCCATGAATCCACAAGCAGCAAAGCCGGCAGGGCTCTCTCTTGAATGGACAATGTGCCTTCCAAGACTCTTTCGTTTGTTGCAGTGCTTCTAGGATGTGTGGAACGATTAGGTAGCATGGTCAGCAAGGAGTGACTCCAAGGGCGTTTCCCCAAAACTCAACCCCTGCCAACAGGTATTCAAGGATTTGCCCTGAAACGCCATCCTGCCTTGATACAGTCCTTCTCACAAATTCAGTTGCATTTGGCCGCCCTGAAGGACCCTAATCCCAGTTGAGCCACAATCAAAACCCGGGTAGATGAAGGTAAGGGGCAGTCCCAACCAGAAATAGTTGCGGATATCCGCCTTCTTAATTCTTGAAGCAAGGTTCTGGGATTACGAGCATTTTACCGGGTTTTGAGCAAGTGACAGCTGGTCGCTGCGTATCAAGGAGCCGATTTCGGGCTCGGGGTGCCAAGGATTGCACCTTCGCCTCCTGGCGTGTGCTGCTGGGACCAGACCTGGCATGCGAAATCCTGTCTCGCGCCACTCGGATCAGGGGCGGAGCCCTGTGGCTCGGGCGCGTTTCTGGTCGAAACTGGGGCAAGTTGGGCAGGGTTGCTCCGAGCTGTTCCGGCCACAAACCCAAAAGGGTGTGTCTTTTTTTCGGAGACCCGCCCCCCCAAAGATGGCCGTTTTTTTTTCTTGTGTCCCTTTAAAACCGCAAAACAGGGGGTACCCTAAAAAACAAAAGACCCCCCCAAACCGAATTTGTTGGGTTGGTTTCCTTGGTTGGGGCAGAACAAATATGAGATATTTACCCCGGTGCCAGGTTGCTGGAAAAGCAGCCCGGTTGCGACTACCCTCCATCCAACAACCACAGTGGACAGGCGGCTTTTTCAAGTTGTACCACCAGTCAGTTTCTGTCGAAATCCGTGTGAATTCATGTTGCGGGCCAAAAACGCCGCTTGGTTGGCACAGCCGCCGTTCTTCAGCGGTACAACTAGTTGATAAGCGCCGCTCGATGTTTGTAGGCCGAACAGCGTGTGGTGTGTACGACCCCGGATTATGAAAAGGGGGGTTCCCCTCTAAAAGTGAAGCGCCCCCCCACAAAAAGGGGGGCACCCCCTATAAATCAACCGGCGGTTTATGAATTTGGGGTTCCCATTGCGATGTAAGGTCGAAACACATGATGTTCTTGGCCTCCGTTGATGTCCTGGAGAGTGGACAGATGTGGACATGGTAGGGGATTTTGCCCAATGTGTGTTGAAACAGTGATCGTGTTTCACCTAGAGTGAATACGGTACAACTGTCCAACATGGCCATTCAGAACAAGTGAGTTTCCGGTGGGATGGTTTCACACGGGCTTGCCAACAAATCCACGGGCGTCCCACCAAACTGTTCTACCCAAGCCAAGCGGTAGCCCGAAAGTGAAACACGTCGGGCGTGGATCGATTTTCTGAATTCTCTCCCAGGCCATCACCTCATGCTTCGTGCAGGGACTGACGGAGAACACCAGTTACCACGCCTCGGTGCAGGTGCGGGGAGTACCTTTTGCCGAGCAGGTCGCCTTGTTTCGTGGCCATTCTGCCGCTGTTGCATGTTTTGGTTAGCATGTTGTGTGGCAGAGTGCCATTGTCTTTGCCGCTCTGAAGACCATTTAGCAATGGTTTGCCACATGGCCATGGGTCAAAATGCCATTGGTTTTGACCCACAGCCATGTATAGTGATAAGCCCTTCCACAGGTGCCGCCGATCAGCTTCGGCATAGGAAGGCCGAACATGTCCTTGTTCTCTGCTGCCTTTCGCCCATCTTTTTGCCAGCGAAAAAGAGCAGAGCGGCCACCAAAGCCGTTGATCCCAAGGGGCTGGGGTTGGAGCTGACCCGCGATGCAGGCTTCCCACTTCCCACTTTTGGGTCATCGGAACCTGGTCTTAGAGACATACGTTTCAGCGAATCCGAAGTAGACTGCCCCACTTCCTGCCATGCAGGTGCGGCCGTTTTGCCTGTTGCCCCTTTTGCTTGCCCCTTGTTGGCTTTGCTTGGGTTGTTTTGTGCTTGGCCCCCTTTTCAAGTTCTGCAGTTTGGCTCTGACCTTTTTTGCGTTCCTTTGGTTCCCGCCATGAAGAACCAAGAAGCATAGGTGTCCTTTTTGGTTGTTTTGCTAGAAAAATAGCTGGCCCTGGTTTACCTGGTGGTTTAATCATCCAGGGCCATCTATTTCCCCTAAAAGGACACCTATGCCAAGAAGGGGAACCCTTTGCCTCGCAGCGGGAGAGGCTCTGTGCGCGCAGGAGTTCTGCGAGGAGCCCGCGCTGGCCTCGCCGATCGCTAGCGGCAGTCCTGCCACGACCTACAGCCCGAGGGCTCGGGCTCGGGCTGCAGGGAAGACGTGCGTCGAAGCGAACACGTTTGTATCTGGAAAAGGGTCCTACTGTGGCTGGACAAAATCCATTTCGCACCTCCTAAGAGACCCTGGTTTCTGATGATTCCTTTTGTAAATACCAAGAAACAATGGTTTCCCCGTGGTTTCAACGTGGTGCAGGATTTCGTCCATCCACAGTATCATGGTCGGGAATCTCATTGCGGGATTCAGGCCGCCAAATCTATCCCTGCTATAAGGGCGCTTTGAAAAAAGCACGCATCCGTAATGTCATGAAGCCCCCGCTTTGCAAGTGTCAGAACAACTCTCGTAATTCGAGTATGTCGTTCCCCTCTTTCAGTGATTGGGCCCTTGCAGTGAACATGTTGGATATTTCTCAAACCGACTTTGGAGATCGTATTATCCTTTTCAGAAAAGAAACACATTTGATATTATGACATGAACTTATGACCACAATAATATGAGCTCAACACGACGGTACACCTTGCCCAGACTCTCTCTTCTCTGTCTTCTCTCTCTTCTCTCTCTTCTCTCTCTCTTCTCTCCCTTTCGCTCTCTTCCCCCTCTTCTCTCTCTTCCCTCTCTTCTCTCTCTTCTCTCTCTTCTCTCTCTTCTCTCTCTTCTCTCTCTTCTCTCTCTTCTCTCTCTTCTCTCTCTTCTCTCTCTTCTCTACTCTTCTCTCTCTTCTCTCTTTTCTCTTTTTTTTTTTTCTCTCTCTCTCTCTCTTTTTTCTCTCTCTCTCTCTTTCTCTCTCCCTCTCTCTCTCTCTCTCTTTACATATATATATCTTCTCTCTCTTCTCTCTCTTCTCTCTCTTCTCTCTCTTCTCTCTCTTCTCTCTCTTCTCTCTCTTCTCTCTCTTCTCTTTTTTGTTCTGTCTTTTCTCTCTTTCTTCTCTTTCTTCTCTCTCTTCTCTCTCTTCTCTCGCTTTCTCTCTCTTCCCTCTCTTCTCTCTCTTCTCTCTCTTCTCTCTCTTCCCTCTCTTCTCTGTCTTCTCTCTCTTCTCTTTCTTCTCTCTTTTCTCTCTTCTTTCTTCTGTCTCTTCTCTCTCTTCTCTCTCTTTTCTCTCTTTTCTCTGTTTTCTTTCTTCTCTCTCTTCTCTCTCTTCTCTTTCTTGTCTCCCTTTCTCTCTCTTCTCTCTCTTCTCTCTCTTCTCTCTCTTCTCTCTCTTCTCTCTCTTCTCTCTCTTCGCTCTCTTCTCTTTTTTTCTCTCTCCCTCTCTCTGTCTCTCTTCTCTCTCTCTCAGCTCTCTCTCTGTCTCTCTCTATGAACACCAATATTACGGGGGGTATGTCGTATTGGGGGAGCACGAGGTCTGACTGCCCACATCCAAGGTTCTTCGCTTTGACCTTGCCGCAATAGTATTTCTGCTTCCACCATTTTTTCCACCATATTCCACAATTTGTCCACCATAATTTTGCAATTTTCCAATTTTTCCACATTTTTTTCGGCAGGGTCTGAGGTTGACACAGTTTCGCGGGGTTCACCGCTACGCCGAGGCTTCATACACCGCGGCACTCGCTTTCTGTGTGCCGAGGCGTGCCGGCGCCCAGCATTGCGCTGCAGATACCCACGGGGATCTTGAGCAGCAGGGCCACGGAGAACCATGGAAGCAGTTGCGTGTTTGCGTGTGTTTGTTTGTTTGCGTGTGCTTCTTTGTTTGTTTGGTTGGTTTGGTTTGGTTTGGTTTGGTTTGGTTTGGTTTGTTTGTCTGGTTGGTTGGATGGGTGGGTGGGCGTTTGTTTGTTTGTCTTTGAGGGTACCCTTTGGTGGTTGGTTTAACGGGAAGCCAAAAGGATATTTGACTCATTTTACCACATACCCCAGGTGTGTTGCCGTGTGAACGCCTGGGGTCGGTTAGAAACTCCCCTATGGTTTCGCACCAGTTGATAGGTGGTTTATCCCAATTCATCGGGCAGCTATAGCTTTTTAGACCGCATACTGCTGCAGAAGCGTGTCTGTGGCCATGTTTCCAGTAATTCGCCTTGAGTTCCGAAATGGTGAGCGACTTAGTTGGTTTCCTTTTTCTGTAAACACGGAATCATCTCATGTATCCATTCTGCAGACGACCATGAAAATTGGCGGCCAGAAGAGTAGAATCCAAGACTCCGGTCTGCTGTTGAAGGCTTCGGCGGACTGAAAGCAGCGGGTGGGCAAACCCAGGATCTTTGTCCTGTATGACGTGGATGTGGAGCCACCAGAAGGCGCGGGGTGCTAGAAGCAAAGTCTGGTCAACCCTTGACAGGTGAATCATTTCAGGTCCATTCAAAGCCCCCTTAGTAAGGGCTGTAGAGAATGAATAGTTCCCTGCTGCGGGGTTCAAATGACTCTCTGGGCAGGCAAGAACTCGCCAGAACGCGCCATACAGCTTGAACTGTTGATGTGTTGGTCGGTGTGAAAGCGGACACCGTTTTTTTCTGGGATCAGCTAAAACCATCCACCAGTATGTCCCCTAGTTTTGACACATGCTTGCATGTAGGGTCAGTATGCCAGGCGAATTTGGGAAGCTACAGAAGCCCTGGATGCGCGGCCCAAAGCTGTCGCCGGCATTTGGCTCGACCGATTCTGCGAGAGGATTCAGTATTTGCATGCAAGGTTAAGACCTGCGAAACTTTCTTCCACTTATCCTAACAACCAGGCACATGCTGTACACATACACATATTACATATATATATATATATATATGTATGAGCCATATGTATGTGTATATATATACATACGCAACATGTACACGTACATCTGCATCCACACTTGTCTGAACTCCCACGGGCCTCGGGCTCAGACCTCCCGTCTCCGATGGAGACCTGGGCCCGGATCCTGCCGTGCACGCTGCGCCCGGGCCGGCGCTCGGAGCTGGAGGCCCTGGCAGAGGAGGCCCACGGAGGCGTGCGGCTCGCTCGGGCGCGCGCCGCCTCGCGCGTGGCTCGCGTAGACCGTGCTACCAATTCACATGGAACCTGACGTTGGGGGTTTCCCTTTAAAAGGAATCTGCCGTTCGGGGGTTCCTTTGAAAGGAAAAATGGTCTTCCAGGCTTTTCCTCTCAGGATTCGTGTTAGTTGGTGGAAGGGTAGGTGTCTGCTTTGGTTGGTTTGGCTAAAACGAATAGAGGGCCCTATGCCTCGTAAAGTGCTTGATCGGGCACGTGTCAAGATAGGTGGGGCCCCCAAAAGGTAGTTTTCCAACTTAGTTTGCTTGGGTGGAAAGGGTACCCTCAAAGAACATCAAAGGCAAAGCCTGATCCAGTAGCCACATGGATAAAGGTTGGTTGCCTACTCAGTTGGCCTGTGCAATTCCCTTGGTCAGACGTGACGAGCTGAGCCCCAAACTATTGCTGTGGTAGCCCTCCTGGCGTTCCTTGAAGCTTCACCGTGTGCGTTGGTGCCCTATTCGGAGCCCACAGCCTAGCGACTTGCGATCAATGACAGGGATAGAGCGGATAGAGCACGGCTATGAACCTTCCAAGTTGTTTTTCTTGCTCTGAATCAGCGGTGCTAGCCATGTGGGGGGCAGAGTGAAGTTGTTTGGAATCTTTGGCATCTCTCTTTCCAACAAACCTGGAAGCAGACAGAATGCGTTTGACAGGTTACCGTGCTATTGACACACGCCCCTGTTCACTTCCATGAATGTGGGAAAGAGGACAGGTGTTCCTGAAGTCAGCGCTCCCTGAAAAAATGCATCCCTTTGCTTTTTTTTCCCCCTCTCAAAACATCGCCTTTCCTTCTGGTCTCCCTTTTTGAACACAGGGAACTCCCTGAGCCATCCCTCTCGTTTTTGTTTTTTAAATCGAGAGGTTCTCCTTCCGTTTCCGCAGGCTGCAAGCGCAAGCTCGTCGCCGGGCTCTTGGAAAGAAGCCGGATCTGCACCCGCAACTGCCGGACCCCTTGCGCCTTGCGCCCAAATCGGGGGGGGAGGGGTTTGGGGGGGATCGGGAAATCGGGGGGGGGGGGGGGGGGGCTTGATGCTTTTTGGGGGGGCGGGCGCCCGTTTCCGAAACCGTTTGCTCGGGCGCCCGTTTCCGAAACCGTTTTCGGGCAGTTTGGAAGGGAACGCCAAGAACGAGCACCCGATTCGGTGGCTAGGTCCTCCGAAGCCATGCAGGCTTTACCCTGACATCCTGGGCGCTTCGTTGAAAGCTTCATGTAAAGAGGGACCTGCCCGAACACACTTGTACGCTGCTAGGGATGGTCCATGAACTGAACAAAGGTAACTTATAAACAATAGGATTCCCTAATCCTTAGGGAACCATGTCCAGCTGTACATGGCAACCTTCGATGTGTGGGTTGCGTTGTCCTCTGCACAATTCCACGGGAGTCGCGCCAATGATAATGATTGCGGCGACTTTACATGGATTCGATGGGGTCACTTCTTGGTTGCATGTTGTTTTTATTGCTTCTTCGGGAGTAACCAATCTTGAGCACTGCTTCCTGGATCAGATACTTTGGTATCTGGGCCTGGTAGCACGCAACTAGCATAGCGGGATGCCCGTTCTGCTTCAGACCCCTGGGGTCACCAAGGCAGTCACGACAAAGCCATCATTTGCAAGGGCCGAAAGGGCTACGGCCTTGGCCTCTTTGCGACTTGGTTGAGTTGTTGGGGCAGGCGGAGCAGAAGGAAGCGCCCTGACGATTGAATCAAGGCGACGGGTCTGGCGACCATAGGTGTCCTTTTTGGTTGATTTGGTTGAAAAATAGAGGGCCCTGGTTTACCTGGTGGTTCAATCAACTACCAGGGCCATCTATTTTCCCAAAAAGGACACCTATGCTGGCGACAGTCTGGGAGTCGTGCGGAAACAAAGAAGTTTCAAGTTCGCCGAGAGCTTCTCAAGTTTCCCTCTAAGATGCAGCCGGCCGGTTCGCACCACTATCGCTGTCATGAGTGCTTGCTGCTCCTGCCTTAAGCATGGTTGCCTGTAAAGCCGTATCAGAAGGCCTGAAGCATGTGTTGTGATCTCGGTCTGATTTGTGGGTCTGGGAACCCAGTGGTTTGCTCGGTCCCAAGAGAGGCGCTCTTAGGATAGATCATTTGCCAAGACTACAATTGATGAACTGAACACCCTGCAACGGCAAGACATTTCAGGGAGGTCGGCATTTCTTTGGATAAGGTGCTTCCCTAGCCTCGTGCTTGGCTTTCCGGACTGTCCTGGCCAGCTTCAGGAGGCTTGGGGGTTTCGGACATATCAAGAGTTCTTCGCGTGGCTTCCCCGGGTTACCAGAGATACATGTGGGAGCAGGATTGAATGTCCCCGGTCAGCAAAGTCTCTTGTTCGAGCTGAGGTCTTCTCTTATGACCAGCGGATCTCAAACAGCTTGTGGGACCATCACACTGTCCTTTGTCGTGGACTTGTGGTGCTGATGCCCCTGCCAGAGGATCTGAAAGATCTTGAGGACGCCGGGAAGCCACTCTAAGGCTGAAGCCACCGGGAGGCTTTTCTGGGAACTGCTCAGCTGATGAGCGATCAACTTGCATCAACTGGGTTCATGTCTTGTTGACCCCCCTAGCCTATTTTTTTGGCCGCACACCAAACAGGTGCCATAGACAGTAGAGATCCAGAAAAGTAGTTTCGGGCTTGGAACCACTTGCCCCCCCCCCGCCCCCTTGGGCCGTGCAGGACGGCGCGAGGCTGGAGGTGCAGTTGCTGGAGGCGGCCACAGCGGGCGACACGCCCCTGGAGTTTGCGGAGTGCCCCATGACTGAAGTCTGGAGCTTTTGTCTCGGGTCCTGGCAGTTGGATGTTTTTTCCCCCTTACACCACTAGGTGGCCCAGCTGCCCTTTGACCTTTGACCGTTTCTTTTTTGGGGGAGAGTCCCCTAAAATCGACTGCAGAAAAAACAATTGGGTAGGGGTAACTCTACTGGACCTAGACCAAGACGGGTCCCAGGTTCAAGGGCCTCGTTGCACTTAGGAATCAGCCATGGCAGCTGGCCATTTAGAAGTCTGAAATGGCGTGCTGGGAAATTGGCCCGAACAGTTGGGGACGCATGGAAACTGAGGGAGGGGTACTCCGGGCTGAATCATGTGGCCGAATTTGATGTGTCAGGCTCCATGTTTGCGGCCAAATGTGCACAGGTGGAAGGCCTGGACGACAGGCATCAATTTTGTTGTCTGTTTGCGTTGAGTTGGTATCCTCAGACATTTTGGCAAACGGTCCAGGTATGTTTCAAGAACGCAGATACTCGTAAATATGCTGCAGGCAAGGATCCGCGGGAAACACAGTTTGTGCAATCGGCGAACACCGCCTTGGGTGAGTTCGCCAGGCGTAGGCTTTGCTGCTTCACTCGAACTTCTATTTCTGGCCTGCCTGCAAGTTTATCTCCTTTGAAGGAATGATTCAGCGCAAAATCTAAAAAACTGCCACTCTTTTCAGCAAAGCGAGGCGGGCGAATATTCTCAAACCAACACGTTTTGCAGGTGCACAACCCAAGCAGACTGGAGTTTGGCGATTGCCCGTTTCTTGGGTTGATTGTGGATTCCGGACTCATTTCTTCTGACTCCTATCAACCATCAGGGAACAATGATTGTGGTTGCATTGGTTTTTGGTTGGGCATCTTCCATTTGCTCAAGGACATTTCCTATTTTACCCTGTTGGGATTCAAAGGGAATCTATCACTGCTGGACATGCTTTATGTTTTGTTAGTATCTTCTTGGCCCAATCACTGCAGGGCACTGACAGCGTGGTGAAGCTAGGGATCTTCCCACGGGATGAACAAGGCCCAAATGGCATGGAAAGAGTCGCTGCAATGGACACCATGTCCCCCAAAAAGTCAAAGCGATGTGTCGACTTCAGACACTGAGTGTTGAGGGCATTGCACCCTGTAAGGCATGCCAAAGTTCTGGGAGGCTGACAGGGAGGTTCTGCGAGGCCGGATCGCGTCGAATTCCCGCTGATTGTATGCCCAAATGGATTGCCACGGATTTGGCCATGGGGCATAACCTATTGCTCCATTTTGGGGTGGATGAACATCCATTTGCCCCCTATTTTGATGTTCACCAAGGGTTTCCTTCGTTTTGACAACCACAGCCATTTCTTCTTGTCAAATGCGTCCAGTTTGTGAATCCATCTTGCAGCGGTCAATCGAGTTCACTTGCTGCTGACATGGGCTGTCACCGAACCGCCACTAGCAAATGGTCCAAGGAAAGCATGCTCACAACTCGCATGCCTTTAGATGGCACCATGAACATGGTGTTTGGCCTTTTTATTTTTGGCTCTGTTTTCGGGTGATCAATCGATAGGCTCTGAAGGCTTAAGGCTTGATGTCAGTCAACCAAAAACAACCACCACTCCTACCCAGAAACATGGAGTCAAGCAGAAGGCTCTGTGCAAAGAGAGCGGGTCACAGTCATCGCGCAGACCTAAAGGCTTCTTGGGAGGATCATCCTTTGGAAAGCCTTCCAAAGGTTTGGCTGACTAGCGTGGCTTTTTGTGCAGAGGTTCCTTGCATCACTTCAGGCGTTGTTTTTTTCCCCGAACCCTCCCGAAGTCGGGGTTTTTCGGGGGCGCAAGCGCCGGGTTTCTCCTGGGGACACTGGGACGCCGGACGCCCCGAGGTGTGCAGCTGGCCTTCGGCCGGGACCCTGAGGCGCTGGAAATGGCGCGGTTCTCTGGGGCGAGAAGCCGGGAATCCATGGTTGTCGTTGGGAAACATTTTGCAAATTTTTGCTTGTTGCAGTTTAGTGGGAAATAAGCACTTAATTGCTAAAGTTTAATTTGTTGCTCCCCTTTCAACGTCAACCAAGAATCTGGGAATGAACCCAGTCCCCTCAAAGGAAACCGTACAAGGGATGGGAATGACGTCATTCCCACAGCACCGGCAATCTAGTGTGGCCTTGTAGCGTTTGGATTTTGAAGCTGATTGCGATCGGGAAGCCCATCGGGTTTTGAAGGGGAGCGTTTCAGCTCCCAAAAATGAGGGGGTTGATGTTAGGGATCTTTAGTTTTGCACTTTCACTGACCGGAATCAAACGTGTCTGTAGATGCGACGGCCTCGGGATTTCCAGGTGATTGGATTGGAAGCGGTGATGGAGAAGGTGGACGGGTCTTTGGGCCTGATTCATCCTGCTCGAGCAGCTCGACATAAATGTTTTTATTGTCTGGAACCCAAAATGGGTGGTTTCTCTTTTGGGTGTAAACAATCGACAAACAGACATGGCATGCCCAATTGTATGTCTGACACGTCTGTCATTGCGACGGAGTTGGTTGTCTGGACGCTGTACTCAATCGGAAAGTGCTTGAGTTCTCACATCTTTGCGTACCAAGGCCTGAGATACAGCTAAGCTTCCAGAGAATATGCATGGTTGAGTCAGTCAACAGCCCACATCTGCTGTGAGTTTCTAGACGTGCCCAACATGTCATCATATGTCAAATGTGGCCATGAGTCAAAAGCCCGTACCCCCAGTTAACATCCCAATCCCCACTAAAATAGACTAAGATGGGTGGTGCACCTACCCCAAAATGGGATACCATTGGTTTTGGGCCACAGCCATGCACCGTGGCAATGAAGCCCGGGTCTCAGCAAGAGCATGCCCTGAGTGCCTCTTCACAGGTTGCAATGGAAGTGCAAGGGTTTCATGGGGGGAGGGAGCCGGCTTCCTCTCCCTTCTCCCTCCCCCCCAGCCGCCATGAGGGTTGCGCTCAACATTTCTGTCATTGGCCCAAAAGCGACGGAACGTGTGTTGGCCTGACCCATGCCCAGGACTTTTGAGGCCTAGATGCCTTTCCGCGCGTGCGGCACTTTTGCCCGCGCCGAGGACCCCCAGACCCTTCACCGCATCGATGCATTTCCACTGCTGTCCTCCAAGAGCGTTGGCTACAGCCAGGACATCGCCAAGGCGTCTGCACAGAGCTCGCGACAACATTCTAAGGGTAGCTTCCATTTCCATTCTGAACCCAGGAATCCGGATCTTTCTAGAAGACCACCCAAAACCCTGGGAAAACAGCTTTTTGAAAGAACGATGGTTGCAAAGAATGGGGAATCAACCTCTAGAAACATGCATGTTTAGCCTGTTTTGCTTTCGTCCACGGTACAAGCTCGCTTATGTCTCGTGTACGCGGCAACATCCAGAACCAGTTTACCCTTTCACTGCCCTTCCGGCCATGTCTGGGGTTCTTGCAAAGGTTCGTCTCCTATTTTGGAACAGCAAACACGGATGGTTTCTTCCGTTAACACAATCTCCAAAAGGGAAACCAACATGTTTTTGCTTGAATTGTGGCTGTTTCTAAAGGGGAACCAAAGTCCAAAGAAGACCCACCTACAATTTGGCCATGGGTCAAAACCCAAATCGCACCCCAGCTACCAGCCAAAATGCGATCCCATTTGTTTTGACCCAAAATTGGAGTACCCCAAGACTTGGGCGGTTTTTCCTGTTGGTTTGCCTCAAACCAAACCAAACCTGCACCAATGCCATTGGTTTTGACCCACCTACAGGTTGACTCGGCCAGGCCCGCAGCATGCTGCAGGAGCAGCATCCCAAGTTCCGACTCCCTGAAAATGTCACGGCCGCCTTGGTGGAGGCAGGTGGACTTGCGGTGCTGTGGAAAAAGCCTGCGAGTAATTTGGGTGTCCTTTTTTGGGGGAGGTTCTGTTTATTTGAGTTGTTTGGGGTGGAGTACTTTGGGTATCTCTTTTATTTTTAAAATATTATCCTTAATAAACATCCTGTTACTAAGCCCCTGTTTAAAAACATAGGGGGTGTCCCTGGTTTTAGTGGGGATTGTTCACTTTTGGAGGGGAACGCCCCCCTGTCAATAAACTGGGGTTGATTAACAGGGGGTCAGCCTTATTTGAGTTATTTGGGTCTATTGAAACCTTTGGGGAGGTTGTCAGGCTGGGTGATTGACTTACCAACGTCACAAATTGCTGAACAAGATGGCTACCCTGCTGTGGATGGAATCATTTTTGCCAATTGCGAGAGTAATTATGGTATCAATTGGAAATCGACCAAGGGCCGCATCTGAAGAATAGGGGGATGCAAGAATCAGTTGCCCCCCGAAATCATCTGCCCTCTCCCCCCCGCCCAAATGAACAATAGGTGTCAGTTTATGTCAGGGACCCCCTGATTTGATCCAGGTGGTCAGGCCGGAAGTCCAGGTTTGTGTGCCCTACAGTGCCCCGGCTGAAAGAATTATATCACTGGTGGGCCTGGGCGAGCGATTTTGTTTGTGCTCGTTTTTGCTGGGCCGAAGGATCTCGAGACCTCAATAAGGGCTTTGTTGAGACCCAATCCCTTCTGATGGAGTGTTGCAGCCCTCCAATGGTTTTGGAGTCATGGGTGTTCTTGGCTTGAGTCAGATTTGTGCATGAATCTGCATGTCCTGCTGTTCAACGTGTGACCTGGTATCAACAAGGCAAAGCTTGGTCAGACTGATCCGGCGCCTGTTTTGTTGTGTGACCACCCCAGCCACCACGCGTTCGGGTCTTCAACTATTCGTTCTAGCATCTCATCAAAGATGACTTTCTCCGGCTTTGGCCGTACAGAGAGCTCGTCCAATTGCTGGCAGACCTCGGGCTTGGTAAGAGGCGTCAGTCAGTGGGCGCTGAGAGTTCATTTCGCGTTTTTAACACCTTGCTTGGCTCACCACCATGTCTTGCAGAACCGTGGCTTCACGAATGGGCGAATGGGCGCACCACGGTGAACTCTGCACTCCAACTGCGGCAAGCGCAAATTACAAGTATGAGGCTAGCTATGTTTTTGCTTCCTCCTCACTTTCCCAGATTTGCCCAGGTTACCAGGGCTTCCGTTTGCTGGCTGTCATGAAGGACGGGCCGTGGGGCCGTGGGGGGGGGGGAAGGAGGGTAGGTGCGTGTCTCTTTTGGGGCAAATAATGAAAATCTGAAGGAGACTCATGTGCTGCAAGTGTCGATTCCCATTCTAAAGTAATATTCTGGCACCACCACTTTTGGAGCTGACCTGTGTCAGGCCTACCTCACTATGCGGATCAGACAAAAATAGCGAGCACCTGTGTGTCAAAGAAGAGCCCGGACCCATTGGCGAACATGAAGCTGAAAGGTGTCTTCTTGGCTTCCCTTGCGAAGACACCAACATTGGGTTATAAGTTATTTGCCCCAAAAGGGAGCCAGAAAGCCAGGCATCATTCGCAGAGGTATATGTTCAGGAACCTGTTTTTGGGTTCCATGTGAATGGGAGCAGGATTGCCCAAGAAGGCGTGGCCTTGAAACCAAAGACTGGCAAACCGCCCAGAGGTGAGTTCCCTTACCTTTAGCCCCCTGGGTGCTACCTCAGCTTCATGGCTGCAACTTGCTGGGGGAGCCAATCCATGGCTGAAATCTACTTGAGCATGCATCCGACAACGCTCAAAGGCTTTGGTTCCAGAAAAATCTACCGGACATGACCCCAAAACACCCAAAGTAAGTACTTGGGTTGAGCATGCATCCCGGTCCTCGGAAAATCTACCGGGAACCCTAAGGAAGACCCGCTTACCAGTGGATGTTGCCTGCAACCCAACCCTTTTGAACCAGCTGAACCCCCGCCCCTCGCCCAGTGTTTTCCTCTTTGCGAGGCAGGCGCCTGGCTCAATGAAGAGGAGCTGGACCACCTGGCGAGGGACCTGCAGATGGAAAGGCCCAGGAACGTCAAGCAGCGAGGCGCGGAGAGGTGTCGCCGAAACCACCACGGAAGGGCGGGCGATTTTCGGGGGTAGCTCGGGAAGACCACAAGACCACAGAAGTTGTTTGCTCATTCGTTGTATACATGCGCCCCACGGAAGGGCGGCTTTTTGTGGGGCAGCTATGTTCGGTAAGACACATACGGAAGTTGCTAGATCATTCCGTTATACATATGCTGATTTTGTTTTTCTCCAACAATGGACGTGGAGAGTGGGCGAAAGGAAGTTGTACCCAACCCTCCTGCCAGCTTCCCTGATTGAAGGGAGGGTAAGTGGTAACAACCCTTTTGGCCTTCAACCACAGTGGATAACTTGTTGCGACCCCCATTGCTGCCATGGCTGTGGAAAATCGCTTGGTTGCACAGAAGACCCAATGTCAGCCAGCCGCCGTAGGCAAAGCAACTTGCGGCCTCACGAAGGGTCCTTCTTTTCGCTTCCGACCAGATGGTGTTCTCAAATTGGGGGCCTGTTTGGAGCAAACCAGGGCCCTGGCGAATTTCAGGCAGCCAGAAACACGGTGAAACTTGTTGGGTTTGGGTTGCCACTTCTGTGGGCCGAGAGAATTCCAGTCAAGTCGTGACCGACTTGACTAGACTCGGAAATGTGAATCAAACGCTTTGGTTCTTGATTCACAGCGGGCCAATGTTCGCAACCACGGGGAAGAGGGTGGAAGGACAGGACGAGAAGTCTGGTTTTACTGAACGCATGGCCAAAATACTCTAAGAACAGGAGCCCTATTTGTCGTGGTTTGTGGTTGGGAAGTCGGCACTTTGATTGGCCGTTCTTGCAGGATGGACAGCGGGATTTGGTTCCTGCAGCGTGGTGTTTCCTGTTGGTTCCGATGACTCCTGGACGTTTTAGTGTCGGCGCACGAGGGATGACGTCATCTTCCTCAAATGGAAAAGTTAGGTCATCCTTCATATGTAAGCGTTGACCTGAATGATTTTGTGATTGCGCCCCTCTGTGCTGTGGTGACAATTCACAATGATCTTGCTTTATCCATGTCTCTGCGAGAAGAGTGAACAGAAAGGGCTTCCTGTCATCACCTTCGGCAACTGGACAATACGCGGATGAGGTTCCTGTCAGTCATAGCGCAGAAATCCAGAGTTCCCATGCGAAGGAGAGGAGACGCTGGAGGACATCCTTGCAAAGGCGCAGGCCTGTTGGGGCAAGGACGGCGAAAACTGAATTTTGCCTTAATGATGAGAAACCTCAAGGTCATGAGCACACACCCACACAGAGACCCACACGCGTAGGCCCATGCTCACGCCCCCTGGCACATACACACACACACACCCGCACCCGCACCCACCCACACGCACACGGCCGGGGCAACTGTTGGCATGACCGCATGGCTGTATTGGCAACGAAAACATCAGATCAGCAGATACCGCAGGATTACACAGGTCTATATGCCAGGATCCCAACAGCGAGAAAGTGTTTGCTCCTTCTTTGAACATGATGGGTGGACAGGTTGGATTTAGTGGTTGGGAGGGACTACGCATCTGCACCAGGTCGGTCATGACCTTTCGGTGTTCCTTTGGACGGCATGTTGCCTCGCTGAGGTTCTCACAACGACACACGCATTGCTTTTTCTCGGGGGTGTTCCTTTGGCTCAGCCAAGACCAGTTCTTTGTAGTATGCTTCAAGCCATTTTGGGACCCCCACAAGTGTCGGGCTTTTTTTTTCCCCTTTGGGACTTCGTTTAGAACCATCCAGAAAAGAGGACTCAATCTTGGGACGTGCCCTGACATCATTTCTCGGGGTTAGTCGGGATGGTCAGGACCCTAGAGAACTTGGACAATCACAAAGACATTTAATTTGTTTTTGAGGGACACATGACTATTGCCAACACAGTTTGTTTGGCCATGGCACATGTGAAGGGCCACGAAGGAGTTTTGACGGGACATGTTTACTACTGAGTTCTAGGCCCTCGTCGCAATGCATTTTTCATCAGGCTCATGGCTTCTGAGTGGTTGGTGGACATGAATCCCCTTTCAATCGTCCACCAAAATGTTGTCCGTTTTGTTGACGTCCACCTAATTTCCCGTTTTGTTTCACGAACTGTCCGTTTTGTTGACGCCCGCCTGTCCGTTTTTTTTTGTTTTTGTTTTGTTTTTTTTTTTCGCGACTTCCTCGCCTGAAAGCTCGGGGTTTGGCTCTGAACGAGGCCTACGTCATGGGCGAGCCTCACGAGCTCGAGGAGGGCTGGGTGGTGGTGCTGAAGAACGGCCTGCGCCTCAAGGTGCACACCGAAGCTGCTTGGACCAACGGAGCACCGGGGCACCGGGGCGATGGAGCGTTTCTCAAAATTAAGACCTACAAGTAGAAGGCTGGTTTCCTTCTTAACAACCCATCCAAACGAGGAGTCGATATTTGGACAAGTGATATTATGTAGTCGTGTTCCGTGTCTTTGTTTAAAATGAATGCATATGAGTTCGCAGGTACACGGTCCGAAGCCTGTGCTGGCACTCAGCCAAAAGGGAACCGCGCTTTGTAGATGTATACAATGTGCATGTGTATATATATTATATATATATATCTATTTGCCAGGCTTGTTGTTTCTCGCTCTCTCGCTCTCTTCAATGTGTTGAACAACGCCAAGAAACATATGAGTTCATTTGACAAGCAGCAATTGTGTGCGTAGACATACTATATGTATACGTGTGCACATATATCTATATATATATACACATGTAATTGCATATAGGCACACGAGGTATGAGTTCCTGTTGGACATGTACCCATTCTCCCGAAGCTATTCGCAGATGCGGTGTGAGGGGTCTTCCTTTCTTGCCTTCCTTCCCTTCTGTTCCATGGTTTGATGAGAGGAAGGATGTGCATGGGCAGCCTGATGTGTTGGCACATCACCTCTACATTCATTCATGCAGAGGGGAGCTGGCAGAAGGACATATATATCCATTGAAAGGGAGGTCATTTTTGTCGAAGAGGCTAGTGCCCAGTTCCATGTAAGTAGCCCAATCGAAGGCATACCGAATCCTGCATGCCCTTTGGTCCTGCACCTGGAACGGGGACGTCACCGTGAAGCTGGTGATGCCATTGCTGCGCCACCCCGCAGTGAAGGACCGAACCGGCGGGCTTTTCAAAGGCAATCCGTGAGATCCTTGTGGATCTTTTTTATGGGCTTCCTTGGTTGTTTTCCGCGCAGCGTGGTTCGCCCAGAACCACTCGTTTTGGTTTGGGATTTCAGGGTATGAAGGTTTTAGGGTTCAGGTTCAGGGTTTAACGTCCAGTTAACTTGCCCTCAAGCCCTCAGTTTCGGGCTTAGGTTCACAGTTTAATTGCCCCCAAACCCTCGGTTTAGGGTTTAAGTTTCCGATTTGAAGGGTAGACCCTCAGTTTTGTAACTTGCCCTCAAACCCTCAGTTCAAGGTTTAGGTGTAGGGTGAGGGAGGTTTTGTCTCCCCTGTTCATTTGGGAAGACGGTTCTCCCAAACGACCACATCCTCCAGAACACAAGCAGCGGGTTCTGGCTTGTACGGGGACTTGCCGAAGAAAGAACATTCACCTTCCAAAAGGATGACGCTAAGAAATCAAGTGTACACTAGCCCTCCACCCTTGCTTGGTCATTTTGTAGCTTGACCTCGACTCACTTCTGGAAAACCCAAGGATGGGTAGGGCTTTGGGCAAGGAAGACCTTTGGACGTCCTTGCCACCAAATGGCCATGGGGCATACTCTATGGCTCCATTTTGGGGTGGATGAACATCACTTTGCCACTTATTTTGATGTTCACCAGGGGTTTCCTGCTGGAACCCGAAGCGCGTTTGGCGCGGGACCCGCGGTCGCGAGGAGGTGCCGTTCAGCAGCCTGCGGCGGTGCCTCTGCCACCCGCGCTGCGCCTCGCCGGCGATGCGCCGCACCGCCGCGGACGCCGAGCAGCTGCTCTTCACCATGCGCGGCCTGCGGGACCTGCGCCGTGGCGTGCGGCGAGGGCGTGGGCGCGGTGTTGAAGGCGTGCTGCAAGGTTTTGGGGCAGAAAGATGTGTGTGTATATATAATTGTATATACATACATGACAAATGAATATGTGTGTATATATATATATATATACATATATATATATATATACGAATATCGGCAATGTCTGCGGCATGTTTCGCTTTGAAGTGATTTGGAGCATTTGAGGCTGGATTTCAACGAGTTTCTTTCAGGCGACGTTTGAAGGGGATAAAAGGTACCCTGCTCCGAGGGGTGAGGCAACACTTAGGTTCACACGCACTCACATATCTGGTCTTGCAAAAGAAGGACAACGCATCAGGTCAAAAATGAGTGTGCAGAAGGTGAATGTCCCTAGACTGCCAGGCAAAGACAGGCAATATCGCTTCCTGTTGAATAGCATGTGAGCAAGTTAAAGTTCGTTGAGTTCTATAGCTTGATTAGGACAGGAAGCTGTGGTGCAGTGGTACTCGATACACATTTGTACATATACATATATTATGTATTGATACACATATATACACATACACCCTGCTCTCCAGTAGTAAGCCCCCAACAAACAAGCAGGCCCCGGTTGGGAACACATTTATTACTTGGAACGTTTTTGGGGTGAGGAGGCAGTTAGTATTTGTGGTCACTTCTGTGTGAGATCAGGAGTGAATAGAGGTATGGCACTGTTTCAGTATCCTCTCATAAAGTTGGCTGGCAGTTTTGGCGGTCTGTTTTTTGGGTTGGGGCAGTGATTACGTCAGGTGACAGGAATAAGGGACTTTGGCACTACATACATGGGGTCTTCCATTTGGTCACTTTTGGGGTGGCTGGGCTTTTTTTGCTCGTTGCAGATTTTGAGCGGAAAAACCGCAAATGAGCTTAAACCTTGATTTGACATGATTTGGCAAGTTTTCTCCCGGAACATGAATTTGCCAACCGTTCGCAGATTGAAAGCTGGTTGAATGGAACAACTTGGCGTTCGTCTTTGAGGGGCTGCAAGATACTTGAATGCTATCTCAGAATGAAAGCGCACCATGTTTATCCGATGCTATCCGTTTGTATCCACGTTCATCGGTCCTCGTGTATGACCAGCCATGCCTATCCGTGTTCACCCGTGATCATTTTATGCTGATCCACATTCATTCACGTTCATCAACGCGTATTTACGTTCATCCAATTCATGCTCACCACGTTTGTAATCCATGCTTCATCCAGGAAGATTCATGTTCTGCTCATCCGTGATCGTCCATGTTCATCCATGTCACTCCGTCTAGTTCATGTTGATCCACGCCCATCCATGTTCACGGGTGATGTTTTGTCATATTCAGCTACAAGGTAAGTTCCTTAGTGCTCGTACACGTTCATCCATGTTTATCGCTGACCATCCATGTTCATTTGTATTTAGCCATGTTCTTTTGTGTTCCTCCAAGCTTATGCACGTGCACGTCTGCTATCTTCTACGTTTATCGACAAGGCCTCGCGATCATGTCTCCAGCCTTGCCGGGCACGTCTCTTGCTAAGGTGCTGCGAGCTGACGGGGGAGTCAGATCCCGCGCCTAGCCTACCGGTGCGGGCAGACCTCCAAGTCCCGGGATCAACGTGAGACGCACTTGCGCCACTTACGAATTTAAGTTTGGGTGAATTGAAGTACCCGGAACACAGGCACGCAACTACACATACGTACATACTTACGTACATACTTACGTGTACATGCTTACGTACATACGTACATACTTACGTACATACTTACGTACATACTTACGCACATACATGCATGCATGCACACACACATATATACATACACCTAGAACACACTCAGTTCTTCCAGACTCTTGAGCAACCCCCAACTGTTCTTGAAAACCTTTCCCGCGAAGTTCATCGGTTGATCGTGCTTCTGGCTGAGGTTTGGAACATGCTGCACACGTGGTGGTCCAACCGCATCAATGCCCCTGGGCTTCAATTTGGAGCATAAGTACCCACAGAAGCTCATCAAAGTACCAAGCCAGATGCATTTGTTTGCACATTTGGCTTGTGATAGAGTCTCAAAAGTTGGGTCTCACGCTGGACAGATGCTCCCAATGATCATGATGCCCTGTCAATCATCTTCCAGGGATGGCAGTTGTCAAGCTGGCTGACACTGCCATTACGAAGAGCGCAGATTGGGGAAACTGACTTCCGGGTGCCCATGCAGTCTTTCGGCTTGTTACCAAAGAGTGGCTCAAAATGAATGACCCAGAGGACCGCGCATGCTGTTGTTTTCGCGCAAACGGGATGTTTGGGAGTGTCCTGTGTTCCAACCAAATGTTTTGTAAGCAGAAGAAAAGAAGACCGTATTATTTTTCGCGCGAACGGAATGTTAGGGAGAGTCCTTGGCTCAACCAAATGTTTGAGAAGCAGAATTTGGCGATTCACGCCCCGGTGCCGGTCATGCCTAACGCAGGTGAAGACGGTGCTGCCGCTGCTGGAGGATCCCCGCATCAACCAGGCGAACGGAAGGGAAGGTCGACGTTGGATCCATTCAAAAATGGCTGCCCATGTTGAGACACAATATGGGTATGAATTTTAATTGGGGACCCTTTGGTGGACATCGAAATTCGGTGGGGATTCATGTCCACCAATCACTTGTGAGGTGGTTCCCTATTAAAACTTCGTTTCCATATGGGTCCTCGTTTGTGCGTTGTCAACATCACAGGCCCCCGTTTTGGACCCCCTCAAAAATTCGAGGCACAACGTGGCTGGGGTGGGCTTGTCTACCCCCCTTTGGCTGGCAACTTTCAAATACATGGGTGTGTCTTTTCGAGGGACCATCCCCTCAATTATGATGGTTTCCTTTTGGCTTTCGAGCAAAACCGACCCTACAAAGGGGTGCCCTCAAAAAAAAAACACACCCATATTATGTTGAAATTGATTTTGCCTGATTCTTGGTGCCATCAGCTCAAGACTAATTTATTATTGTTGCGTGGGTTAGCAGGTCATGTTGCATGTGGCAGCCATTTGGTCAGCCAGGATCTTGAGCAGCTTTGCCTTTTCCGGCAGACAGAATCTAAGTTATCGAGTCGAATCGTCAGAAGATGTAGTAAACAAACCTACTACCGGGTGCCCAATGGCGCACATACAAAAATGCTTCCAAGTGCTGACCATGACTTTTCTGCCGAAATGTCGGACAGACCCATTCGACATACATATCAATATTGACCATTTCCCAAGTTAGCCGACTGCGTCCCTTTTGTTGTTCAGAGCGTTCATTATTTGTCTAGCAACCAGAAAGTTGTGTGTTTTGGCAGGAATCTTGAGCAGGTTGAATAAGGTATGGTTTGAGTAACTATTGCCGCACAGCTGTGAAGCATGATGAATGGAAACACGCATGATTCAATCGATGGTGGCACTGTCACAGAACAGTTGTCATCCAGAATGAAACCACCCATTTTCCAGCACCCACTTCTGTCCGTACTGGCACAGCCATCATGGATTCGGCATGTGCAAGTAATTGCAACACCCAATTTTGCAAATCACATCAATATATTGGTGCTTGAATTATCCTCTTTTGCACAGAATCAACAGTGCAACTATTGTGAACCTGCCCACCATCCATAGAACCCCCACGAAGCAGCCAAACAACATCATCGTTAATTCCATTGAGACGTTAAACCAGTAATTGTGTCTCGACTCGCCTTGCCTTCGTTGTGCTTTGGTTGAAGATCACATCTCCAGGAACGGGTCCCTAGATGAATTACCCATTTTGGTGACGATGTCAAACATCACCGTGTGAAACCTCAGTCATGGATTTCTTTCCCGAGGGACACCCGAAAAGGCTGTCTCCTTAGCGGGAGGCTTAAGGGGGGGTCGGATGAGGGGTCCTCAGATTCGTTTCAAAGGATGGATTCCTCGGAAACCAAACTGCAGGAGAAAAACACAGGGAAACCATTGGACAAGACCTGGAAACCATAGGAACAGACCTGGAAAGCAAAGCCATTGAAACAGACCTGGAAACCATAGGAACAGAGCTGGAAAGCATTGGAAAACGCCTGGACATTGCAAGGAAGCTACAAGGACCCCCCCGAATGCCATCCACCCCTCGACCGTCCCATTGCCCAGGTCCCTTGGGAGGCGATCCGCGGATGCCTCTGCGGCCCCTGCGCCACGGCGCAGCGCCAGGCCAACGCCGATGCCCTGCAGGCGCGAGCCATCGATTCGGAGCCATCGATTCGTGGCTGGAACTCGGGGAGCGATGGGATGGCACTCGGGTGCCTTCCTTTGGGCGGTTTTGGTCGGAGCCAAAAGGACACCACCTGGGAGGGTAGGCCCCTCGTCCCCTGGGAGGGGGGGGCCAAAAGGACACAATTACTGGGGGGGGGGCTATTTTGAGACATGGCGTAGAATAATTATGGTGATGTAATAATCATGGTGTATTAACATGTATTAACAACAAACACGAAATGGGGACCTCTCTGCAGGCTTAGTGGGGAACCCATTCCTCTTTGGGGTTCCATGGCGTTCCAATTTTGAGGCAGACGCCATCACTTCGTAAATTTTCACCAAATGACCTGAATCTAAGTATATTTTCAGGGGCAGGCTGCGCTGGTTGATTCCCTATACATCGCGAGGGACCAAGCCTTACTCAGGGAATCGGTTGGTGTTATTTAGCAAAATCCAACTGAGCACAACCTGCTCTGACATCGGACACAGTGAGCCATCAAATCGCAGCAGACATCAAAGTAAACCACACACTTTGACCTGACAATGCTTGCGCACCATCCTCTGTCATTCAGCCATCAAACCAAGCAACTCCAAGCCATAGTATGTTTCAAACTGAATCAGCGGTTGCCAAGCCGCTTCCCAGTTCCGTGCATTGTTTTGCTCTTCGGGTTTTCGACTCATGTGAAAGAAGCACAAAACGGCCGTGGCTCAAAAGGAAGGCGCTAGGATTCCGCAGGTCTTAGTCTTTGGTTCCATCTACCAAGGGGGCCATTTTGGTACATGCATTTGAGCCACAGCCAAATGGATATGGGTCAAAATTAAAGCACCAGAAAACCGCAGGTTGTAGTACTTGGTTCCATTTACTTAGGGTTCCAAAACGGATACCCATTTTTGAGCCACAGCCAAATGAACGAGTTCCCCGGTTTTGGCGCTTGCCACCTGCGACGTGCGCGACGTGCGTGCCTGGCAGACGTTGCTGGAGCGGCTGCGGCCCATCTTCCAGAAGTGCCTGGTGGAGGCGCGGCAGGCCCTGAAGGACACGGCCGCGGAGCCCATGAAGGACTTGAAGACGCCCGGCGGCACTTGAAATCAAAGGGGTTTCCACTAGACCCACAAAAAGTGAAACTTTTGCAGAGGGGTCAACAGCAACCAAGTTGGGTTGGCTTTGGGTCAAAACCGTTTTGGTACCATTTTGGTTGGTAGGTGAATTCACCACCCATTTTAGAGCCTATTTTAGTGGGGATTGGGATGTTCACTGGGGCTACGGGATTTTGACCCATGGCCATTTGCCCTGCGGAACCCGTTCAACGGGTGGGTTTGAAGGAACACCAACAGGAAAAACTGCCCAAGTCTTAGGGTACTCCCCTTTTGAGGCACTCCATGGTTGCGGAAGACATGGTTTCAGGTTGCCACGTTTCGTGATTGTAAACCCCCGTTAGAGTATTCTTGGGTACGCCTTCAACCTATATTGAAGGGTCACTTGAGAGTCCTGACAGAGTAGTATAGAGCTTGTCTTTAGAGCCCTGTGACTGTCCTGCTTCTTGGTTGCCGATAAAGTTCTGGCAGCTGTTTTTTGTGGTCGTTTGCCTCAAGCGAAAAAAGCTTCGAGTGAACAAAGAGCCCAACCTCCTTGGGGCCCTCTGATTTTCGGATCCGATGCGCGTGCTCTTCAACACCTCCGAGCACGTGGGTCACCTCAACCCCACCCTGCCGCTGGTCAAGGCGCTGGTGGAGGCCGGGCACGACGTGCACTTCCTGTGCTTAGAGATCGCCCGGCAGAAGATCGAGGTGGGCGAACTTGGTTTAGCCAGACGGACCCGATTTGGCCCCGTTCAAAGGGCATGGACCTAAAGGAGGTTGGTTCGACAAAGGCGGTGTTTAAACGTGAACAAAAAGTGGTGGGGTCCGGACCCTGCGAGGATATGGGCGCGGTCTTTCACAACACCATGGACATCCAGTCTGAGCTGTATTCTGGCCGAGGCTTGCAAGATGCGCACGCGCAAATCCCGAAGCTGGCCCTTTTCAGCATCGTCGAAGAGCTGGGTATGGAGATGTCCTTCCTCAGTCTCTTGAAGTGCCTCAACGTGACTTGACTGCTATTGGCTTGCATCTTTAGGTTGAAATCAAGACGTTTTCCACTAACCCCCAAACATGTTTTTTCTTCATTAAAAACAAAAACAACACATTAAAAACACAACTTTTTGCATGGGGGTCAACAGCAACCAAGGTGAGTCTAGAGATGGAGCTGCCTGGGACTCTCCGCTTCTTGCGGAAGCTGCAGCCAGATGTGCTGATCTACGACCCCCTCTTCATCAGCCGCGCCTCACCTTTGGCAGCGAACGTCTTGGGGATCCCGGCGGTGGGTCTGCTGACGCTGGCCGGACCTGGAGCCATGTGCAACCATGGCCCTGCACTCCTGCGGCCCTTGTCTCTAGATGAGTCAGGTCCACTGGTGCAGCAGTTCGTGCCGCACATGGAGGCCACGCGGCGCATCAACGAGAAGTACGGCTTGGCGTTGAAGACGACGCAGCTGCTGCCGGATGGCTACTTGGACACCTGTCTGTCTAACACGGTCCTGGTCACCACCTCGGAGGAGTTGCAGGATCCGGCGACAGAGGCCGCCCGCAAAGCCTATGAGGAGGATGGGACGAGGCGACGGTGAGCCCAAGACAATGATGAAACTGTTTTTCCCCTTCTGTTTTTGCAGGGAGTTGTTGGACTTGCAAGTGGGGACCCACTTTTGGCTGAAAGGGAAGCCAGAAAGCAAGGGGACCAAATCGCATGTTGAGAACCACCCACTTGGCCCAGCGCCAAACCCGGCGCCAGGTTTGCCTTTGTTGGTCCTTTGCTCTTGCCGCCTGCGCCCTGCACCGATCCAGCTGTGCTTCGCGTGCGGGAAGCTCGGGCCGCAGGTCGCCGGGTGGTGGCTGTGAGCATGGGCACGGTGATCACAGGTGGTGACCAGGAGGGAGTGAAAAGATGTCTAGGTCCCCCAGCTAGGTGCCCTTTTACCGTTTCTTTTTTTGGGGAGGGTTCCCCTACTGAAATAGACTCAGAAAAAGTTGGTACCCTTATTCTGTCCTCTCACTGGAGGACCTAGATCTGTTCCAACAGGTTTCGACACCTATCCCCAATCTTTGCTTTTTTTTGGGGGGGGGCTTCACTATTCAAAACCCATGTATCCCCAACTGATCCCTCTTTTGGACCGGATGTTTTGGCGCTCCCAGGTGGCTGGTTGGGATGCGGACTTCGACGGTCAAAGCATCAGCGGCCGGGACCTTTGCCGCGCGGTCTGGGGAGGGACCTTTGAGGCCTCCGGCGACGCGCTGGTGGTTGCGGCTTTGGGCTGGCAGCCAGATGCGCTGGGGGACCTCCAGGTTCCCAGCAACGTGCTCTGCGTGAACTCCTTTGCGCAAGTCGAGGTTTTGAGAAGCGGCGTTGATGTCTTCGTGACCCACGGCGGCCAAAACAGTTTCACTGAAGCTTTGTCTTGTGGCACTCCAGTGGTGGTATGTCCAGGATTCGGAGATCAGGAGGTGAATGCCGCCAAGGCTGTTCGTTTGGGTGTTGGTCTCAAGGTGGACCGTCCCAAGATTGCCTCAGCTCCAGCATCCCAAGCAGCAGCCCAGCACCCCAGTTGCCCAATGGCATCCTTTTCTCTCCTTTTTTTGGTCTTGTTTTCTTCCATTTGCTTAAGACTATTTTTTATTTTCCCGTGTTGGTTTTAAAGGGAACCTACCACTACTGGAAAGCACTTCTTCTTTTTTTCCCAGGGGTCTGAACCAAATGGACGTTGTCCTATTTCCCTTCCACCGAAACCAACTAAAAGCCGCTCCGGGCTCAGGTACCGTGAGGACGTCCGCCGGGCCGTGCAGCGGCTGCTGGCGGAAGGTCCGGCCTTCCGCCGGGCCGCTCAGCGCCACGCCGAGAAGTTGGCCCAGGCCGGCGGGGTGCCGCGCGCCGTGGGCGTGATCCTCAAGGCGGCGGAGGAAGGTCTGCAGTGGGCCGTGACCGCTGGCGGGGCCTAGCGGCCTAACGCGTTTGGCAGAGACCCAGTGCTGCACTCTGCGCAAAGCAAAGGTCATGCATGCAACTGTACAGACAATTCGATTAATTGCACAAAATTCTCTCTGTTTGCCTTGAGCGAACATGTCCGTGGAAGAACGGGCCAAAACCTGTAGAAATCGATCAACTGTAGAGACAATTTGATCAACTGCCAAAGATTCTCTCTGTGCAACCTGCTCCCTTGATTCTTGGGGACGTTTGCCTTGAGCGAACATGTCCGTGGAACAACGGGCCAAACCCTGCTGAAATCGATCAACTGTACAGACAACTTGATCAATTGCAAGCGATTCTTTTTGTGCAACTGCTCCCCTCATTACGGGGGACACTTGCCTGAAGCGAACATGGCCGTGGCACAACGGCCAAAGTCTGCAGAAATCAATCGTTCGGCTTCGGATTATGTTTTTATACTGGAGGCGACCACATTCGCATGCGCTTGTCGAATAGTACAAGTGACCGTCCGAGAGAGCAACCCCACACGGTGTGTTTGGTTCTCCCGGCTTACCTCTTTCTCTTATTTCCCCTGTTGCCCGGTTCCCTTGGCGGCCCTCGGCTCGGCCTCCACACGCTGAGGAAGCACCCCATGAGCAAGGTCCTTCAGAAGCTTGGTCGAAGTGCGTCGACGCAGCCTGGAAAACAAACATATGATTTTGGAATCCTTGTTGTATGCGTCGGTTTGGGCAAATGAGGGTAAAGGCACTCTGTAGACAGATCGAGGAAATCAAGGCCGAGCTCATGTTTGTGCGTCCTGCAGGTATTCGTTGCATGGATTGCCAGTTAGTGGCCCAGTACAGGTCCGGAGTCCAGCAGAACTTGACACGATATTGCCAGAAGCATTGCAACATAGAGTGTCTTCCCTGGCTAGATTTCCTGCAAAACAAAGATCAAGATGCTGTGTCATCACGTGCTCGAACTTTTCCTGGTGTTGCGGGCTATCCTCTAGCAGACAGCAGGAACTGATATTTCATGTTTGTACCTCTGGGCAAATTTAATGTGTGCCTTGGGTGTGCCGGAGCTTGTTTTTGTTTCTGCGTGATGCATTCCGAGCTTGTCTTCTGAGTTGAGTCTGGCCTCGCTCTTTTTACTTTGCAGGCATAGCAATCAACCGACCAAACTTTGTATCAGTGTTCCAGAATTTCAGCATTGGAATCTTGGATCGCTAGCAACATCCGACATTGTAACTTCTAAGACAGCTCCAATTCCACAGTCGCGTTATAAAAGCACTGGAGCATTGCTTGGTCAGCCAATAGTTGTGGCCAACGGTTGGTGTCAGTTTTCCAAGATTGTTGGGCAATCAGGCTACCCTAAAAGGGTTCGGCATCAACGGCAGAGATGGCATGCCCTTGAGTTGCCAAATGAAGCCTCCAGCACAAACAATGCAGAGTTCACTGGTCAATCGCAGCCTTGGAGATGCTAAGCATGGTGGACTTCCAGATCGTTTGATTCAGCGGGTCCCCTCTGTACTTTGTGAGAGGGATTCGATTCGATTCGATTTCGAGGACGACCCTGGAGTCTCCACCCTCAAAAAATGGGGTCATTAAAAATGGGTCATGGAGACTCCAAGGGAATTGGTTTTTCCCGCACTGAGGATGGTCCGAGGCCCAAGGGGGTGGATCGCCTGCATTCCTGAGGACGGGCTTGAATGAAAACGGCTTGGTGCCAGGACACGAAGCCCAGACTCATAGATCGCCTGAGATCGCGCGCCCGACAGACCCGGAACTCGGAACTCGGCGAGCCAGCCGTCCGCACGGCGCATCGCCGTGGCCATGGTTCAACAGCTCAGGATTCATCTGGAGCTTGTTGCCGGCGTGTTGAAGTGTTGCAACTTACTCACTGGATCCCTTTTGTCAACAAACCATGGCGATACATGGGTCGGAGGCTTGTCCCCTTGGTATCAGATTTAGCAGAAGCTGGACTTTCTGAGTGTGATGGAGTACCGTACACGCGGACCGCCTCCTCCCAGTACTGTTTCATGTGGGACGGGAGGCATTGAAACATCCCTTGTGTCTCGGGGGGCGGGATATTTTCCATTGCTGCCAACAAAAGCATTCGGCCTTGCACTTGTTACCCCATGCAAGTCGGATTCAGAACCATGGCCTGACCCTGAAAGGGATCCTCTTATCATTATCTTTGACATCTAAAAATCATAGGCTAATTATAAACCACCTTGCGTGGCAAGATTGGCTGCAGGATCAGGACGTGGACGCTTTGACGGTTCCCCCGGAAGTTGTCAGGCACGCCACATGTCCAAGACCAAAATTGGACTCGCCGAATGTCCTGCGTCATGGCCGATTTTTGACCAGAGCTGCTCTGAATCAATGGGACCTTCATTGTTTGATTGACCCAGACTCGCATGGCCTGGCTTTGTTTGAGTCGCAGCTGCATGCAGTGCAATAAGCAGTGGCTTGATAGCACCTTCACGGCCAAGGGACGATGTGATATCCGGGGCGCTCGAGCATAATTCTAAAGCCCTGCTTGTGGTGAGTTCGGCCAGTGAGGGTAGCCGGCCTTTGTAATCTAATGTCAAGTCGAGTTTCTTGTTCCTGGGAAGCTTCATCGGTTTGGAGTTTAGGGTTTGGGGTCCTTTTACTCTCATGTCAGCCCTGCCTCGTAAGCACAGCGAGAACCTCGAGCATTCCCAAGCACAAACATGTGAAAACCCAGAGACGTCGCAGGCCCGGTCAATGCGATCACCTGTCAGGCCGGTCTTTCAACCGCTGGCGGAGAAGGTTGAGAGGGAGCTGCAGAAGGGCGCGAAATGCGGAAGGAGCTCGCCGGCTGTCGAGACAACGCATTCGCCTGCCGTTTCGATGCCATTCCATCAGGCAGTCTCTTTGGGCCTGCGCTCTGACTGTTCTGCCCATTCTTCACTTGTATGTTTGAGGGTGCCTTTCTGATTTCTTGGGCTGTTGATGGCAAACGCTTCCCATTTTCGGCCATGTGTGCCGAATTCGCTTCGAATCAGCGAGGCCCGCGAATTCGGTGGAGTCCCCGGAGTCGGACCCGAAGGAAGAGCCGCAGGAGCCGTGTTTGGGGCCCCTTGGATCGCTTCTTGCGACACCAGCGGATGCGCCAGCGGAACCGGGTTGACAACGAACTTGAGGTTGAAGTTGGCGGTGAGGTTCTCAACATGGTTTCAACTGGGACAAAGAGCTTGGTATTCCAAGCAAAAGCAGTGATTGTCAAGCGCATCCAGCAGCACTAGCACAACACACCCCTATTGCATCAACTAGTTTTTGGGAGCACACTCGTATTGTCAGTCTCGCTCACACACACACACACACACACATCTCACGCAGCTTCCATTTATTTTGGGAAGGGGCCATACGGCATACGGGACATTGTCTGTGGCATGGGTGTTGCGTTGCCATTCTTCGGACACCGCATTCTACTGCGTGTTCACCCAAGCTTGCCAAAAGCATGTGCATTCACGCAAACAAGAACATCCAGACGCTGATTGATATTCTACAGAGTCTGTCCATTTCAGGATCCGGGTTTGCACAATGCCAGCAACTTACCCCTGTGAAAATTTTGGCAAAGTTGCCGAAGCGTCCGGAAATTCCCGGCCGTCCCAGGAGGGCGATGCCATCTTGAATCGCGGCTACGTGAGCTGAGCTTTGGGCTTGCCACGCAGACCGAGGGTGCCCCACATGGATATGTTTTTCGGGATTCGTTTGAACGGCATGACGAATCCAATTAGACCCCCTTGAGAAAATACCAGACGCGGATCGGTGAGCACATTTTTTGCAGTCAGACATGTGGCTTGAGTCAGAGTGCCTTGCCACGCAGAGGCTTCCTACTGTTGATGGACGACATGTAGTAAGTTCAAGATGTCCAGAGAGAAAGAGTTGGATGAATCATGGTCATCCACGAACCAGACATTGTTTGGCGGCTTGTGCCCATCAGCAGTCTTTAGATGCTATCCTTTGCTAGGATGTCGAATCTTGAGACACCTGCCATGTACAGAAAATGTACAGATCATGTCTTGGAGAAAACCTTCGCAGCTGAGGTGCGCAGCTCTTGAGCCGGTCTTTGAATGTAGAGAAAGTGTCCCATTCTGTCAATAAGTGGACTGCCACATCAAAGGCGTGTTGCCAATCTCTCTTGATGTCCTGTTCAATCAACATCAATCCAGAAAGAAAAAAAAAGGTACAGGATACGCACAACAAGACACAGCCCAATAGCAACTCCTGGTGCTGTTTTGGCATTACATCTTACCAGGTGAGAGATGAGGCTTCCCAGAAAAGCCGATCAGGGCCATGTTGGTTCACTGTTTTATGTACGTATCGCTATCTTAGAATGAGATGTACTTTTTTTGTTGATGCTGTGTGCCTGTATTCGCACGTGTTCGGCTGGCAAATTGTTTCCTTAGGCTTTTTCGGCGGTTGTTTGCACTGTACGTGCAGGTAAGAGCAATTCGATCCCTTTAATTCCAAGCACCTGTCTTGTGGACCGCCCAGCAGTACCATCATTCCCATCCTTCCACGCCCTACGTTCCCTCCCCACTAGCGCTCCTCGTGGCCATCCAAGCAGGGGCACTTGTCAGTGCCTTTCGCATTGCTCGGGCGACACCAGCCTAAGACCTTGTTGTGCAAAGCCCTGCCATGATGTAATTTAGTCTGAAAATTCAGATTGACACTTCAGTTAACCCCGCCAAAGATTTGAACGTTTCCCTGGGAAGCACAGAGTACTCATCCAGCCCATTTGCCAACGCAAAAGGCGACTGAAAGTGACGAAAAGGATTTCTGCCTGTTGCGTGCAGTCCGATTGTGACTGGCGTCCCCATCTCGCCAGGGATGTTGGCGCTGGGGGTTTGCGGCTGCTCCAGCTGCCTCACTGAGAATGCCACGCACCTGCGCAGCTCACACTCAATCTTTGGCACGTAGTTGGGAGTTGTTTGCCCCAGAAGGCCGAATGGTTCGAGATCTTCAACATAGTCAACAGCATTCCAAAACTTGGACACACTGTTGGCATTGACTTACGTCACATGTACGTGCGGGTGGTTTCTTTGTGCAACCCAGTTTGATGGCTTGATTGGAACCATCAAGTGCTGACAGTTGTGCGTTGGTTGGTTTTGGTCGGCTTTTCGACCTTCCGCTTCAGGATGCCCTTCCGGGGCACGTGCAAAAAGGTAGTGCAGCCTGGTGACGGGTTTCACTGAGGCAACTGGCGGGTGGCCACGTGGCCGGTGCCTGCAAGTTTCTGGCAGCAGGCGGCCTGCGCGCTTTCAAGGGCTTTGGGAGCTGCAAGGAGACCCTACTAAAATAGACTACAGAAAAAGTTGGTACCCTTATTCTAAGCTCTCTACTGGAGGACCTAGCCAACGGTCCGGTGATTTGAGGTTGGTAGCAACACTGCAAGGGGGCTTGCCTACATAAGGCCCCGATTTGGGGTTGCATGAGCATTAAAACAGCCGCCATTTGATTCAAGCTTGCTTCGAAGTCAGGTTGGTACCGTCGGCGTGAGCCGTGTGCTGTGGACCAGGGCCAGAGTTAACTTCAATGGCTCAGCTGAACCCAAAGTGGAGGTTTTGGTCCCTTGTCTCACGTTCAAACAGCAACCGGTGAAGTCAAATGCGTTCGATATGTTGCACACATTCAGCCTCGCCAGTGCGACTTGCAAATGATTTCATGGGTAGACACGCCATTGCCTCAAACTGGGACTGCGCAGGGCTGCACCTATGAAGTGCAGCTTCCGGAAGGCATTCTGGTGACACGACGCTGGGCTGCAAGGGACAGGATTGAACGACAGGTCAGGGTATGATGTCGACCCTCTACTCAAAAAGGAGGTATTTACCGTGGAAAATCGGGTTTTCCCAAAGATAAGATGAAAACAGCGGGTATTTGGAGAGCGCACAAGCAACCTGCTGAATTTGCAACTGCTGATTGCAGCGTCCTGTTGTCATCCTGGAGCCCGACCCTGGCGATTCAAGAAGACTCGCGGGGGGCAGCAAGGGCAAAGTGGATTACCAGCTTCCTTTTTCTTAGCCTTGGACATAGGGTTGGGACGATGGTTTGAGAAGAAGTTGGGTCGGGGAGCAAGATGTGGCAGCACGATGGGCTACTGTAACAGCCCTTGCTGTTTGCTCCAATGCTAAGTTTGGCTTGGGGGAAGTAGGTGTTGGTGCAACCTGTGTGCTCCACTACCCCTGAAATCTCATAACTCCTGAGTGGCTGGGCTGGAATGCCGGAAGATTGACCACCGCACCTCGAAGTTCGGCCACATTACTCCGAAAGCAATGACACATTCCTAGTGTTGGACCTATGCCCATCATGTTGGACGCTTGTTGCGTGCTACTTCATGATAGTGATCATGTTTTGCAATGCATAAGAGTGACTGTGTGGCCATAGGTGTCCTTTTTGGTTGTGTTGGTTGAAAAAAGAGGGCGATTCCTTGTTTGCCTGGTGGCTCTAATCAACTACAGGGAAACCCATCTATTTTCCCAAAAAGGACACCTATGTTTGTAGCAAGTCTCGGATACGCAGGACAGAAGCCTTCGAAGAACTCCCCGGAGCTCAGCTGGAGCTTCCTCTTCCAGATCCCCTCCGCAGAGCTCACGCAGCCACTCCAGGCAGTGACTAGAATCAGCATGCCACCCTGGACAAAACAGGGTGCTGTTGAAACATTTGGGCAATTGTCCCAAATCGAAAACGGGGTGTACGACCTCACCCATGAAGGTTTCTGGGGATTCCTTTTCAGGTGTGTATGGTACGTCCCCGAATACGAAATTCGATATATAAATCATGACCGTTTCTGGGGATTTCCTTTTTGAGGTGTGTATGGTACAACGATTTGCCCAGGCGTGACAGAGACTATCCAACGATGGGAGTGCATGCCTCCTCGATTCGGAGAATGTGACCGCTGTTGGTGTATTTTGTGTGCGAAGGCTGTCGCTGCCAGTCCCTTTGTGTCTGCATAAACAGCACGGGGTCTGTTGAGTGACACTCCCAACAAACATGATCCCACGGCAAAGCATCATTCTTGCCGGATCCCCGGCAAATCTGCCAATGGAGAGCTGGATGAAACCTGGTGGCTGGTCTGCAGTGCCATCATGGAAAAGGCCTGAGTAGTCTTATTCAAGGATGTTATCTCAGGGGGTGTCTCCCAAGTGACGGAAACCCTACTAAACAGGGCCCCAAGAAAATCAGCCGGGCGCTTCCCACTCCCGGGTTCCCGGATTTTCCAAAAGCGCCCTCGAAAGGGCTAGTCGTGAATTCCAGTGCGCAGCATGCCCGTTGCGCGGCGTCCCAAGAGGCGTGTGCATCGCGGACGAATGTCAGCAATTCATGTACATGCACGCTGATCCAGAGACACAGAAACAACAAGCAAGCAGACACACACACACACACATACATGTCAGTATACGTACACACAACATATGCATATTGAATATATTCCACGTATCAAGATGCACCGATAGACAGGCGATCCCTTAGACTTGGGGGAAGCGCAATCTTCCCCGCGCGTTGATCGCGCGTGAGAGGTGCTGAGTGCCTCGACCGAGACGGTGAGCTTCAGCCTTGCCTGGAGCGCCAGCGTGGTGTTTAGCCTCTGGGGCCAAATGCGGAAGCTGCGAAGGATTTCGGTTGGCTTGGTTCCAAAGAAGACTAGAACGAAAAGGGTACGCTCCGATGTGCAAGAGGCACAGAGTTGTTCCAAATCAGTCCTGAATCCTTGTGCGGGTGATTTTTGCACGACGACCATGTGCCAATCGCGCGGTTTCCCTTGCAGGGGGCGTTTACAGGGTTCCCCGCTTCAAGTCCCGTTCTCCCTTAAACACAGGGTACCGGGTGTTTTAGATTTACAAGTCTCTAAGTTTGGCTTTGTTTGAATACTGCGAGTTTTCATTGGCGCTCGGATTGCGTGTTGAATCCCTTTTGCCATAAATTTGCCGGGGCATGGAGCTTTGTGATCTGGGTGTCGCTTGCCTCAACAAGGACTAGGACTAGAAGGTACCCTCCAAAATGACGCACGAGATGGTGGTGGCGGATGAATGTACCTTCGGGACTTTTTGGTGGATATCTTTAAAACATAGAATGAATAAAAAAGTAAATATCTTGAGGGTATATGTTCAGCCACGTTGGTGTTTGACAATGAACCTCATACCCTAGGAGCCCAGGACCTGTGTGAAGGTCTCAGCCAAAGCCTCGGTTTTTCAGGGCCTCGGGGGTCGGATCGAGGCTGCAGGGCCGGAGCCAACCATTCGGCTCCCCAGCTGGCGGCCCGGAATGCGCTGGCCTCAGACATCGGGGCGTTCCAATCTCCAGCCTTACCCTCCCACCATGGGTTTGTGCACGGCCCTTTCCAAGAAGAAAATAGTCTTTCTACAGGGGTCTGTAGACTTCCATGTTAGTCGGTGGGAGGGTATAGACCTCAAATTTGTCTCTTAATTACGCAACATGAGCCACAAGTTTGCAAGGGAAGCCCCTACAGAGAGGCAGGAGCTTCATGGGTAGTGGTTTAGGCATTGCTCTGGGGTGCAGAGTCTTTGCTTAGGCATGAAAACTGGTTTGGATCTGGCTTTTGTGGATCCACCCATGTAGGATATTAGCAGAGTAGCAGAGTGCAAAAAAACAAGGACCAACACGGGGAAGAACAGGTTCAGTCCACAAAA